CTGTGACTCCCTCTCTCTCTGACCCTCCCCTGCTCACGCTGTCTCTCTCTCTCTCTCCTAGAAATAAATAAAAAAAAAAAAAAATTAAAATTAAATGGGGCGCCTGGGTGGCTTAGTCGGTTAAGCGTCCGACTTTAGCTTAGGTCATGATCTCGCGGTTCGTGGGTTCGAGCCCCGTGTCGGGCTCTGTGCTGACTGCCAGCTCAGAGCCTGGAGCCTGTTTCAGTCTGTGACTCCCTCTCTCTCTGACCCTCCCCTGCTCTCGCTGTCTCTCTCTCTCTCCTAGAAATAAATAAAACATTAAAAAAAAAAAAAAAGGTTTAAAAAAAAATTAAAATTAAAAATAAATAAATAAATAAATAAAGCCTCAGTTCTAAGCTCTTAGAGATCAGGAAGCTGGAACCCACGTATCCTGATGTCAAGTTCTATGTTCTTTTCACTATTTAATTTAAGGCTATAAAATCCACAAAGTAACTTACATCATTGCTACTGAAATGTTACTGGGCTCAGAAAAAGCCAGTTAAAATTAACATGCAAAACACTACCCAAAGGAATGACAGATTTAGAATGGATATTTTGCAAATGCTAATGAACTAATAGCTCTAAGTAACATTAATCAAAGAATGCTAAAATCATTAAGTGAACTTTATAAATATAAAAGCTCAGGCTGACCAACTCTTGAACTTCCGGTCAACCTTTACATCCACAGGTGGCACAGCCAGAGATCCATGTCCTCCTGATGTGATGGAGTAAGTAGGCAGCAGACAGCACCACCAGTAAGGCAGTGATGCCCAAACAAACCAAAAACCCACAATGATGGAACCAAGTCACTAGATCTAAATACCAGTTCTTAGGAATCATGGAGGACAGAGGAATGTGTCAAATTACAATGAGGACAATTAGCAAGATCCAGAATATGAGAAATTCTACAGGACAAATGACCCAGTGTTTCTTCCACAAATACATGGCATTTTTTATCATGCAAAGGAAGAAGAAGAAAAAGGAGGAAGTAGGAAGATGGGGAAGGACCTGTCAGTGATAGAGAGAGACTTTATATTTTTTTAAGTTTATTTATTTATTTATTTATTTATTTATTTAGTAATCTCTGCACCCAATGTGGGGCATGAACTCATGACCCTGAGATCAGGAGTAGCATGCTCTTTTGACTGAACCAGCCGGATGTCCCTTAAGACAGACTTTATCCAAATGCAAAGTATGAACTTTGGTCGATTTAAATAAAGAGTAAAAAGACATTTTTTACATTAATGGGGGAAACTTAACATGGTCTAGTCATGAGGTTGATATTAACAAATAAATGCTAATTTGGGTGGGTGTGACAATGTTACAACTTAAAAAAAATTTTTTTTAATGTTTTATTTATTTCTGAGGGAGCGAGAGAGAGACAGCATGAACAGGGGAGGATCAGAGAGAGGGAGATACAGAATCCGAAACAGGCTCCAGGCTCTGAGCTGTCAGCACAGAGCCCGACACGGGGCTCAAACCCACGAACCGTGAGATCATGATCTGAGCCGAATTCGGACGCTTAACTGACTGAGCCACCCAGGTGCCCCATAACTATTTTTTAAAAAATCCTTATCTGTGAAAGATACATAATGAAGTTAAAAAATTTTTTTTAAGGCTTATTTATTTTTGAAAGAGAGAGAGAGATCAGGACAGGGGCAGAGAGAGAGGGAGGGAGACACAGAATCTAAAGCAGGCTCCAGCTTCTGAGCTGTCAGCACAAGGCCTGATGCAGGGCTCGAACTCATGAACTATGAGATCATGACTTTGAGCCGAACAAACTTGGACGCCTAACCTACTGGGCCACTTAGGTGCCCCTGAGTTGTTTCTGTTTTCTTGGGTTTTTTTTAAATGTTTGTTTACTTTTGAGAGAAAAAGAAAGTGCGAGTCGGGTAGGGGCAGAGAGAGAGATAGACAAAGGATCCGAAGCGGGCTCTGAGCTGACAGCAGAGAGCCCATGCGGGGCTCAAACTCCCGAACTGTGAGATCATGACCTGAGCCTAAGTTGGATGCTTAACCAACTGAGCCACCCAGGCACCCCGCATAATGAAGTTTTTATGAGTAAACTGATATAATATGTAGGATTTGCTTTAAAATGCTAAGAAAACATGTATGGATAGGGGAAGAGAAAACAAAAATGGCAGAACATTGAAGGCCTGTGATTTTAATATTCTTTCTACTTCTGTATTTGAAGTTTCCTATAGTAAAATATATAATTTTATATCCCAAGAATTTATATTCATATGAAGCCCAGGTAATTAGAAAGAGGAAGTTTGGGCACAGTGACTTTTTTGAGTGTGATTTTTCCCTTGCCCTTCAAACCAGTGTGCTACCTCTCTGTCTCAGAGATATACAGGAACTTTCCTTCTAACAGAAACGGATGCCCGACCAGTGATATTTGCAAGTGACTATTCAGTTGAGTATTCGGATACACAGGTAGGGGTCAAAGGAAAAGTAACCACGTACATTTTTGGCACTGCTGTTGAAACTCTCAGAGCTGATGGGGAGCAGGGTGCTCAACTCCAGGTCCGTAACCATCTGGCGAGACTCTGCCAGCAAACGCTGAAGCTTGCTTGTGGGCGAAAAGTCATCCTGGGAAGACAACACAATGTAAGCATTCAAGAAATCAAGAGGCATTTTTAAATGTTTATGTTTACAAGTATAATGTTATAAACACAAATGTTAACCACCCAAGAATGTTTCTTTGGCTTTAGGTATTACATACCAAAGCTGGACATTAAATACTAGAGCAACCAAATTCCATCTATTTTTTAGAACCTATTTGGCTAAATAATTTGACCTCAACAGACCTTACAACTAATTAAGTTACATCCGTGTGATAAAAAGAATCCTAGGCTGGGGCGCCTGGCTGGCTCAGTAGGTAGAGTCTGTAACTCTTGATCTTGGGGTTGTAAGTTTGAGCCCCACACTGGGTAGAGAGATTACTTAAAGATAAAATCTTAAAAAAAAAAAAAATCCTAGGCATTGTTAACTCTCCTAAATTAACTTTCCAAAGCTGTAATTACCATGCTAATTAATATGTCTAAATACTTGTAAAATGTAACTTTAACATTAAAGGCTTATAAGCTTTTAAGGGGCACCTGGGTGGCTCAGTCAGTTAAACATACAACTCTTGGCTTTGGCTCAGGTCATGATCTCACTGCTGGAGGGTTCGAGCCCCGCGATGGGCTCTATGCTGACAGCTCAGATTCTGTGTCTCTGTCTCTGCCCCTCCCCTGCTGGTGTTCAATCTGTCTCTCAAAAATAAATAATAAACATTAAAAAAAATTTATTTTATTAGTATTATTTTTTTAATGTTTATTTCTTTTTTTTGAGACAGAGACAGAGCATGAGCAGTGGAGGGTCAGAGAGAGAGAGGGAGACACACAGAATCTGAAACAGGCTCCAGGCTCTGAGCTAGCTGTCAGCACAGAGCCCGACATGGGGCTCGAACCCACAAACCGTGAGATCATGACCTGAGCTGAAGTCAAACGCTTAACCGACTGAGCCACCCAGGCGCCCCATTAAAAAATTTTTTTAATGAATAATATAAAAATATGTGGATATGTGCCTTAGTTTGTTCTTGTTTAATTTCCAACTTTGGGATCTGACGTTTTAGCATGACAGCCACTCTGAAAAGTACCTAGACTAATTTCTTTGTTAAGAAGAGCGAATTCTAATGTTCCAGGAACAAAGATGATCACTACTGACCTGGATCTAGAAGACATTTAATAAGTACCTGCTGAATGAATATATGTGTGTACAAGCACACATACACACAAATATATACATACATATGGAAAACATAAGCAAGCAATATCATATATTGCCTCAAAAAAATGGGTACCAACCCTGAAAAAAGGTCTCACAAGAGCTGAAAAGGTAGTAGCTAACATTTCCTCTCATACTCACAGCTTTAAAAAAAATTAACAGCTTTGAGGGCTGCCTGGGTGCCTCAGTCGGTTATGCGTCTGACTTTGGCTCAGGTCATAATCTCATGACCTCCCCTCCCAGCCTCTCCCCTCCTCATGTTGTTTCTCTCTCTCTCAAAAATAAACTTAAAATTTAAAAAAAAATATCAACAGTTTTGAGGTATAATCAACATACAATTACCTATACAATTAAGTTGGGGCATCTGGGTGGTTCAGTCACTTGGGTGCCTGACTTCAGCTCAGGTCATGATCTCGCAGCTTGTGAGTTCAAGCCCATGTTGGGCTCTGTGCTAACAGCTCAGAACCTGGAGCCTGCTTTGGATTCTGTGTCTCCCTTTCTCCCTGCCTCTCCCCCATTCGTGCTCTGTCTGTCTGTCTCTCTCTCAAAAATAAATAAACATTTAAAAAAACTGTACAATTAAGCTATACAATATGCAGAGTTTTACATATGTACACAGTCCTGAAACCACACCGACAATGGATAGGGAATCAAACCTATGCCCCTTGGGAATTCCTGCCTCTGAGTCTGTCTGCCCATTTCCAGCCAACACTGATCTGTCTTCTGTCACCAGAGACTAGTTTGTGTTTTCTGGAATTTTATATAGATATACTCATATTTTCACCTATGTGGCATCTTCCTTTCAGCATAATTATCTTGAGATTCACCTGTGCTGTGTACTGTAAGCGGTTTATGTCTTCCTACTCCTGAGAAGTACCCACTGTGTGCGGGCATCAGTTTGTCTATTCACCTACTGATGCATATTTGCATTGTTCCCAGTTTTTCAGTTAATACAAATAAAGCTGCTTGAATATTACATGCAAGTCTTTGTATGGACACGTTCCCATTTCTCTCATGGAACAGCTGGATCATATGGTATGTGTATATTTAACTTTTTAAGAAACTACCCAAGTGCTTTTCAAAGTGAATTTTCTTTTCCCACCATCAGTGAATGAAAGTCCCAGTTGCTCCAGATTCTAGTCAACACTTGGTATGATCAGTTTTTAACAGAGAACTAACACTCATCAAATGTCCATTAGGGGCCACGCCCCACAATATCTCATTCAGAACAAGCAAATGTAATGTTACTTTGCATATATGCAAGAGAAGAAACTGAGGCTCAAAGAAAGTAAATAACGTTACTGAGGTCACTGAGCAAAGGCAACGCAACACAAGGATTTGAACCCAGAACTTCCCCAAATAAAACCAAAAGTAATTAAGGTCATCTGAACTTATTTTCACCCTGAAAGAGCTATCCTGTAGATCCCATTTATGGTGAAGACACCGACTGGCTCATGCGTAACAGTGACAAGCAGTAGCAACCTCACTGACCATCAGGAGGGGCATGAACACACGGGTTTATCCAATCAAAGGACTACACATGAATCAACAGTCAAAAGGAAGAGACTAAGTCTTCAAGTATCAGCACGGATAAATGTCATAAAATATGCACCCAGTTGGAAAAAATCACGTTGCAAAAGGATAGAGACAGTATTTTACCTCTTAGGCACATTTTAAATACACACAAAACATCATGTAATGTTTAAATATACATTTTTATGTAGTAAAATAATAAGAACAAGCAAGAATACAGCTTCAGGATAGTGATTAACTGGTGGGGGAAGTGGGCAAAGGGAGAATGGCACACGGGACCCACACTTTATCTGCAGTATTTCTCAAACAAGAAAAATAAAGCAAATGTGGCAAATGTAAACCTGTTAAATCTGAACATAGGTGCACAATTACTTGTTACAGTCTTCATTTTTTGTTATATTGAAAATATGTATATGCACATATGTATGTAATATGTTATATCTTATCAATCACCTGGAAGGCCTAAAGGACATCTGGCCTAGAATTAACTCTATAGAATAATATTTATTTTTTAAATATTTATTTTTTAATTTTTTTTAATGTTTATTTATTTTTGAGACAGAGAGAGACAGAGCACGAGCTGGGGAAGGGCAGAGAGAGAGGGAGACATAGAATCTGAAAGAGGCTCCAGGCTCTGAGCTGTCAGTACAGAGCCCGATACGGGGCTCGAACCCACAGACTGACAGATCATGACCTGAGCCAAAGTCAGATGCTTAACCAACTGAGCCACCCAGGTGCCCCTATTTTTTAATTTTTATTTATTTTGAGAGAGAGAGAGAGCACATATGTAAGGATGGGGAGGAGCAGAGGGGGAGAGGGAGGAAGGGAGAAAGAGAGAGAGAGAAGAAAGAGAGAGAGAGAGAATCCCAAGCAGGTTCCACACTGTCAGCATGGAGCCCAATGTGGGGCTCGAGCTCACAAACGGTGAGATCATGACCTGAGCTGAAACCAAGAGTCAGATACTTAACCAACTGAGCCACGTAGGTGCCCCTATAGAATAACAGTTAAAGGAAACAAAAGGCAAGTAACTCTGACTTCACTTAAATAACAGAACTAAAGTCCCATAGTTTAGGAAAAAAAACTCCCGAAGAATGACCAAATTAAGCACACAAGCAACAGTACCACAGCAGAATTAAAAGTATGTTGGGGAGAAGCCTTGCTCGAATGAGCTGGGTATCTCTAAGCAAAATACACACACCTTATCACTGGACAACGGTGCCTCTTTGTTGAACAACAAAATCTTAGGTGAGTTCTTGGTATCAGGAGAAGGCTCTGTCTCTATCGATTTCTCATCTTCTCTTGTTGCAGATTTCGGAGAACCCAGACAGTGGGAATGCTGGATGGCGATTAGCTCACTGCAAATCAGAGACCCAAACGGAGACAGACATCTTAAAGTGGCATCAAACATGTCACCAACACTCTTACACTTAAAAAAGTATCTCAACAGGACACCAGAAAAGTTGTTTTTCTTTTTAATGAAGAAGTTTAATGAGCAGAACATTGTAGATTTGAAGAGAATACTTGAGTAGAATATTATAAATTAATGCATACCCTTTGCAGTCAGAATTAATATAGAATCTTGGTTAAAGGCAACAACAGAAGAGAGAATTTCCATCCTCATTAAAAAAAAAAAAACAGAAAAGAAAAAGGAAAAAGAAAATGAAAAGATGATTCAAGGGACAGAATCATCCAAAAAGGCGTGGGGAAAAAAATTAACGTTAAACTTGTGAAAATTTTGGGATTTTGGTCTGCGAAACTGATATTTGTTAATGGTTTTTAAAAGTCCCTTTGTGCGAGCGGACCGGCCCTGTGCGGCTGTCCATTCTTCTGCAGGTCCTCACTCCGGAGGGCGGACACGTGTGGCCAAGCTGCTGGGTGCGTCCGAGAGTCCGGGCTCAAAGCAGGATGCACCGCAAGGGCCGAGCCGCCTCCTCCCCCGCACCCTGTCACTGAAGCGGAGGGGGCTGCCCGGGGCCTCGGCCTGCACAGGACGGCCGTAGGAATGTGAGCATTTAGTCCGCCGCTAAAGTCAGTACACAGCGACGGCTTATCCTCTAAGAGAGAACCGGAGAAGCGAATCGTCTTCCTGGTGTAACCGCGCATGCGTCAGGTGACGTGCGGGTACCGCGCCTCGGCTGGCAGCACCAGTCCTGTCTAGTATTTCAAACCAGGGAGGCCGAAAGGGTCTTGAAAGAAAACTCCAAATTTAAATGTGAATTTCTTTCCTCTGTTAAATTTAACATATGTCCACTATGCTTTTAAACCTAACATAGGGGCTGAGCATCGAGCCTGCTTAGGATTCTCTCTCCCGCTCATGCTCTTTCTCCCATCCCCCCCCCAAAAAAAGGCGGGGGGGGGCGCTTGGGTGGCTCAATTGGTTAAGTGTCCAGCTCTTGATCCTGGTTCAGGTCATGATCCCGCAGTTCCTGGGTTCCGGCCTCGCATTGGGCTCTATGCTGACGGTGCCGAGCCAGCTTGAGATTCTGGCTCTCCCTTTTGTGCACATGCACATGCTCTCTCTCTCCCTCCGTCCCTCCTTCTGCTCCTTCCCCCCTAAAAAGGTTTTCTAATTGTTGACATTATTAAAGCACCCCTCAACGACAAGATTAAGCAATTTTTTAATGTATCTTTATTTTTGAGGGAGAGATCTTGAGGGGGGAGGGGCAGAGAGAGAGAGAAAGAAAGAATCCACAGCAGGCTCCTAGCTGCCAGTCCAGAGCCTGACACAGGGCTTGAACCCAGGAACTTCAAGATCATGACCTGAGCCGAAGTCAGATGCTTAACCAACAGAGCCACCCAGGGGCCCCAAGATTCAGCAAGTCTAACAATAAGATGAGCCTGAATAATGCAGCTTATGCTAATGACTAATCCATTTTCTTCTCTTAAAAAAAACATGAACTTTTCCAGCTTGTTACATACAAATGCTATTTTTCTTACATGACTTCAAAAAGTGAGACGGTTTGGGAAATGTAAAATGAACACAAGGGCAGAAGCAGGTGGATAAGGAAATATGTCATTGGGGTGGGGGTTGGGCAGGTGGAGGCAAAATTCTTATCTGAGGTCTGGGGAATGTAATCTGTGCAGAAAAACAGCCTATCGATTCCCACGGGATCTGGGGGTGAGGAATGCTCCAGAGCGGCATTCTGCTCCGTAAAGTAACCTACTGTTAGTTTAAAAAAAACCATATTTGCCCAACTCATGACAAGTGGCTTTTTCAAACAAAACCTTTGCCTCAGAAACAGCCCTAGGTACAAGCTTTTCACTGGAATCGAATACGTTCCCTTTGCACAATCAAAAACTCGACTGCCTATGTGATGGTGAAGAGAGTCCCCGTTTTGCCCCAGATGTGATTTCTGCTCGCAAACACTGCTCTCTGCTTCACAGTGAGCATGAAGCGGCTAACGCCCTTTCCATTTCCAAGCACAACATGCGGGGTCCCCGGGGGTTACCGATGCCGGAGTTACTAACCTCGTGGAGGAGTTGTATTTCCGTCCACTGGCACTTTCTGCACAAGTACACACGGATTTGTGGCGAACGATTCTTTGCACTTTGGAAGGCTTGAAAATGCTCATCCATTCCATGTCAGACATGTGGCCTGGGGCCTCGATGATGAAGTTACTCGGGTGGCAGCACTTGGATTCACATATGTCACTTTCCCCCAGACAGGCTTCATTTTTATGGCAACAGGAGACTCCAGACCTTTCCACATCGTCTTGACATTCAACGTCCAGCTTCTCTGGCTGTTTTGCCCCAGAGCAGTTGGCCAGGCCCAGGTACACGTTGACATCATGCCACTGTTTCTCATCAGAGAAGGACGCTGATGTTTCTGACAGTTGTTTCCCTTCATTCTGAATCCCGCTCCTGGTCCCTTTTAGTGACTTTGCATGAATCTTGCAAAATGTACTTTTGTTTTCAGCTTCCATCTGCATTTTTCCTCCTAGAGACCAAGACTTTTGCTTCTCCAGGAAGTCTTTTGTAAATAGAGATGAGACAGCAATTACACTTTTCTCCCCAAATGAAGTATTAGCCTGTAGTCTCTTCTCATGGCACGCATCACAAGGACTCTTGTCTGACCTATTTTGCTGAACCAACATGGTCTCAAATTTTGGGTCTTTAACCAGTGACTTCTGATTTTTCTCCCTCTTAATATTGACTTTTAGGTGGTTATTCTCAAGGTCTGACAAACACATGTCCCTGCTATGGGAACATTACAAAAAACACAAGTTATAAGATACACTTGATACCGTGTATCTAAATATTTCACTCAAATTCCATTAGTTGAGCTAAATCCTATTAAGACCCATTTGTATGAAAAGAAAAGATAATGTAGAATACGTATTCTTTCTTCAGAGCCCAATTTCAACCCAACTGCAAGGAAGTCTTTTTGACCAGCAAGCCCACACGCTTACTTGTCTTCAACTCCTCCATGCTTACTGCCTATACTGCAGTTACTACTTTACTATATGTATTATCTAATTAATCATGCAGCAAACTTCCTATTATAACAAATTGTTCACCAACTTTCATGTATATGTCTTTTCAGTAGACTCATAAGTTTCTTTTTTTTCTTTAACATTTATTTATTTTTGAGAAACAGAGAGAAACAGGGCACGAGCAAAGCAGGGTGGGGGAGGGGCAGAGAGAGGGAGACACAGGATCCAAAATAGGCTCCAGGCTCTGAGCTGTCAGCACAGGGCCTGACATGGGGCTCGAATCCAGGAACCGTAGATCATGACCTGAGCCACCCAGGCGCCCCGACTCATAAATTCCTTAATGTGTATGCCTTTTTAATCCTTCTGGCACTTTAGGACAGTCTTTAACATACATTAGGTACTCTGTAAATACCTGTTCATTGGTCTGTTATTTCCCTTCCTATTAGTTTCACAGTAAACAGAAGTAAAGCCAGAACTGAAAAGGGACAGAGATTCAAGGGACAGAGGTGCAGTGGAAAGTGCCAAATGTGTTTACCATACTGCATTCATGACCAACGCATCTGTCTGCTGGATATTTACACAGCAATATACTGAGAGCTGGTCTAAAGTCAGATATGGCATGTAATGGCATATCTTGCATAAAATGAAAATTAAGAATACTATACAACCACAATACATCTTTCAATAAGCTGTCATGTCACATGTATTCAGGCATTCTGATCTGTAGAGGTCGGACCCCGCAGACAACCCCCACGTTCTAGAATGGCACAGGCCATTTCACGCTCTTAGAGAATAACTTCACGCTTCTAGCCCAAGTGCCTCCCAGGGGCAATGAGATCCAAAGAAGCAAAATGCCAATGTGGTGGGGGCTCTGGCTTGCAAGAGAACCCTGGCTGGTGTACTAAGTAGCAGCAGCAGCAGCAGCAACAGCAGCGGCAGCAACTGGGACACAAAGCTGAGGTAACCCCGTAACCACCGCGCCCCCGCCCCTCAGCAGAAAGTCACAAAAGAAAAGTAAAGCACAGCAGTCATACTGTCCAGAGTGACAGTCCCATCCACCGATGCAACTGCTAACTACAGGCAAAGGGGCTGCTGGGAGCACAGGGCGGCCCCCACCTCTGCACTTGCATGGTAACGCCTAACGGTGGGGACCTTCCCTCATTCCCATTCAGGGTCATGACTCCTTGTAACACTTGTGCTGGGAAAAGTAGACCAAATGTAACTGTGGGGCAGTTATATGCCTGTTAAATTACACTACACCTCATATATTTGTATTTTAACTTTACAGAGACCAATTTAATTCACACACTGCTTGTTAGAGGTAAGAAAAGGGGTCTCCTTCAATTAACAAGGAAAACAGGAAAATCAAGCTAAAAGCAGAGATCCTCCACTAGCTGAACTCCTACTTCAGTTACTTATACCATTCGCTGGTGTTATTTCTCTTAGACAAGTACCACATCCTATGCATGTGTGTTTATTTTGCCCAACCCCAGCCCAGTGAGTGCTAAACACTGCATGCCGAGTATGCTTGAAAGAGGACATGATTCGCCTCTATAGTTTCTACTTGAGCTCAAAGCCTTGTACACAACAGACACACAAATAATGCTAATGAATTTCTTTTATCAAGTGGCTAAATCAGGATTGTCCCTAAAATTCTAAGATCGGGTCTCATTCTGACACAGGATTGATTATAATGATAATTACTAGCTCATATATATTTATTCCCTACCATATAGGGAATAATGGTCGATACTGGTCTACAGTAAGTACTTAATAAGTAGGCTGAATGATAAAATAAAATACAAGATCATACTAATAGCATCTTACTGAGATTACCTGGATTCCAGAACCTTTGATTCCTCCATCTTTGAGTCATATATCTGTATTAATTCCTGAGAATTTTCCACATTAAAATTAAGAAACTGAAGATCACTCTGTTGTTTTACATAAATCTGCCATAGACATTGATAAATAAGATGGGACAATGAAACTATTGAGTCAACATTCAAATGCTAAAACAGATCAGATGGTGATCAGAGACATATGCTAAATATGTTTACTTTTATTTTTCCTATGTTAGCACCGAGATTTGTTTGTATAACTAGTTTTCCTAACTTTCATTACCATAAGCAAAACCCTACTGATTATTAAAGATGATAAACCTTTAATGTAGTTAGGACTCCAAATACACTGTAGGCAAAACTCAACAGACACACACTTTTCCCAATTTGATGTTTGTTTATGAACGTGTCCCACCTAACAGTCAGGGCAGGGGAAGGGGGGTCCGTACCTGTCTCAGATTATGCAGTTCTGCGTCTGTACGTTCTTGCTTTGACTTGGCAATATCAAGTAACTCATCTTTCCTTTTTTCTCTCTCTGCTATTTAAGAACAAATATTATTCACATGATTTTCATCGGCCATATCAACACAAACCTCTTCATTTCCAAAAATGTAATGTTCCCATAACATTCCCCCTCCCACCCCACCCCGTTTCTGAACTTAAAATGTGCAACATGCATGGCTGGGAAGAACTTTAATCTGTGATTCTGACTAGGTCTTCCACCAAACTTGAAAATTTTCACAATGTAATTAATGCTGAGTCAAAATAGGATCCAGAATTCTATCAACTGTATGACCAAATCACATTGTGTGTTTGTATATATGGATAAAAAGTCTAAGAACAAGTACACTTAAGTATTAAAAGATGCTTTTTTTGTATGGGAGGGTTAATGACAATTATTTTCCTCTCTTTTTTGAGGGGAGGAGGGCGTGATAAAATATGTATTATTTTAATTTAAAATTTTTTTCACATTACCTGAGTAACTTATGAATGCATTTTCATTGCAAAAACCCAAACAACGTATTACCTTTATCAACAGAAAAATAAATAAATAAATAAAAATAAAAAGTTTCAGAACTTGGTAAATTGAGAACCCACAGGAAGGGAAGAATCTAAAGTGCTGTACAAAGACTAGTACCAGCAGAAAACATTAATATTATGCTAAAGGAGAAATGAAGTGACTCGCACAGAAGTCAGAAATCAACAATAAATGCTTCACTTAGGAAGAAATCAATAACTTTATAAGAAGTTCAAACTAAATGTATACAATGACCCTGCAACTACATGAATCGATCTGAAGTAAATCGGATACAATCTAAATAAAAATTTATAACTTCTATCTATTGTTCTTTCATATAACACCTTCTACATGTCATTTTTCTACATTTCCTACATTTTTCTACATTTTCATTTTACATGAAAAAGAACAAAGGTTTTTATCATCACTTTACATCTGGACATCGCAAAAACCACGTAAGGACACAGGCCTGAGATTTGGTGCGGACTGTAACTCCACTGGACAGCTGCTCTGGGGGGTCGGGGCACCAGGTGGAGATAAGAGCAAGCAGCGTCTGTGCACAGCTGCCCGGTCTCCCCAGCATGGTGCATGCTCGGCCCTTCCAACGTGGGTCTGTGGCATCATCCCACCTTTGAAAAGTAATCCATGTGCACAAGATGGAAAACGTGAAGAGCAGTTCAGTGAACACCATGCTGCCAGCTTGAAACTATCACGTCTTTTCTACTCCATTCTGAATTTCTTTGCATTATAGGAGCCAACACCATCATGAGAACATATAAATGCAATGGGTCTGCGCTATTTACACAGAGGTGCATTTAGTTTATGTGAATTCAATTATAAATGCAGTGGGTCCGCACTATTTATGCAGAAGTGCATTTAGTTTACGTGAATCCAATTACAAGCGCAAAGAAAAAACTAAAAAAGGAACTGCAGCTACTGTAACTGGGAGTAATGCCCACCGTGCCTCTGGGACTCTGCTGGGCTGGGCGCCACTTGCCTCTCTATTAGCGGCACTGTGACGCGCTGGGTGTAATTCCTAGTGTTTAGAGATACTTGTTTTGGATACACTATGGACCCTAAACAAAAGCAAACTATTTAGTTTGGAGTTCAGGGGTAATTTTAAATATATGTGAGTTTTGCCTTAATCTTGGACTCTAGAATAATCTACTATAAATCTACTGTAAATACAGATGTTTCGCTCAGTCAGATACTTTTCTACATGGCTGGGTTTAGCTGAGAGATCAAAGTGGTGGGACCACTTTTTCTGTGGTCACAGAAAACAAAGAGGTATTGGACTCTGCTGACTGCTGCCTGAACAAGTGGCCTAAGAAAAGACACTACAGGGGAAAGGGTCCTGGAAGTCCGCACCCACCACATTCCGGTCAAGGCTCTGCCTTTTACTGACAGGGAGACCTTAGGCAATCACTCAATGTCATGGGGCTTCATTTACAAGACTGTCAGGACCTCAGAAATATGAACTAGTATCATCACTTTATTTGCAAATTTCTTATAAGCAGTTATGTACAAACCAAAGAAACACATCATCTACATGAAGCACTTCATCTTCAACAAGAGGTAAAAAAAAGCTTTGAACTTAACAGAAATTATATTTTTAAGATATCTTCCAGCTTAAAATTAAATGTGTTCATTTTCAGCCACAGCACCTGACAGCATATCATTTATGTTAAGCCTTTTAAAATTATTTTTAGGCTTAATTCACCTTTATAATTTAAATATACGAAAATTGTTTTGAGACAGTGGTATGAGTAGAAAAAGTGTTTAAGAGGGAAACCTGGGTGGTTCAGTCGTCTGAGTGTCCGACTCTTGATTTTGGCTCAGGTCACGATCTCACAGTTCTTGAGTTTAAGCCCCTCAGTGGGCTCTCCACCAGTGGCATGGAGCCTGCTTGGGATTCTCTGTCTCCCTCTCTCTCTGCCCCTCCCCTGCTTGTATTCTCTCTCAGTCTCTCTCTCTCTCAAAAATAAATAAATACACATTAAAAAAAAAGAAAGAAAGAAAAGGTATTTAAGAAATTAGCTTAGGAAGGGCGCCTGGGTGGCTCAGTTGGTTGAACATCTGACTCTTGACTGGGCTCAGGTCATGATCTCACGATTTGTGAGATCAACCTCCTTGTCAGGCTCTACACGGACAGCATGGAGCCTGCTTGGGATTCTCTCTCTCTCCTTCTTTCTCTGACTTGCCCCTGCTCATGCTATCTCCCTCTCTCTCTCTCTCACACACACAATAAACATTAAAAAATAAATCAACATTAAAAAATAACAAAATTATTCACAAAATGGATTTATTATGGTATTATCTAACAAATTTCCATTAGCCATAATCCATCCTAGCAATACAAGGATATAGGAGTAAAAATTGCCAAATCAAAACAAAGGGAGACTGTTAAAATATCCTATAAATATCTCCCTTCCTCTCACAGCATTGTATTCACATCTGTATAGTATTAGATTTTCTGTGAGCCTGTGAGCCTCATAGCAACTAGAAGAGTGCCTGGCACACAAAAGCTGACCCAAAGGTTGTTTGAATTCAACTGTAAACCTACAAGTTTATATATCTTTAGGATACGTATATATTTTGTTTACACATACATTTTTATTAATATGTTACTTTGAGACAGCAGTCCTACAAATAATGGAAGCAGTGACCTCTACTGGTAGAAAACTGCATTTTTCCCAATCTTTAATCACATTACCTTAAAATTAAGTATTTCATTTTATCTGAAAAAATGTTAATTATGCATTTTGCCCTTTAGCTTACAGAAATTTATTCCCCTCCTAGAAGGAAAGGCATTGAGGGTATCTATAAATAAAACCCAAAAATGTCAATTTAATTAAGAGAGGTCTGAACCAGTGGAAACTAGTGGGGTATACAGTGGACAGTGTGTGTAAGAATATGGGGGTGGGTGGGTGGAATGCAATATTTATGTTTATCTTGCAACCTGAGGAGCCCATGTTAACCTGAGGGGCCCAGGTTAAACTAGTGATAAATCTGCTATTTTTTAAAGTTTATTTAAGAGCACCTGGGTGGTTCAGTTGGCTGGGTGTCTGACTCTTGATTTCATCTCAGATCATGATCTCATGGTTCGTGAGTTTAAGCCCCGCATCAGGCTGTGCTGGCAGTGAGGAGCCTGTTTGAGTTTCTTTCTCTCTCTCTCTCTCTCTCTGCCCTTCCCTTCACTCAAAAATAAACATTTCAAAAAAATAAAATAAAATTTATTTATTTTGGGGAGAGAGGGAGTGAGCAGGGGAGGGAAAGAGAAAGAAGGGGAGAGCAAGAATCCCAAGCAGGCGCCACACTGTCAGCACAGAGTCTGACTCAAGGCTCGAACATATGAATCATGAGATCCTGACTTGAGCCAAAATCAACTCTGCCGCTTAAATGACTGAGCCACCTAGGCACCCTGATAAATTTGATATTTTCAAATCATGAAAAACTCACCCTTAACATTATTACTTCAGGATCATGCTGGTATAACAAAACACATGTATATTTTTCCAACTGTAATAATCATAGGTGATCTATTTGCAGAATGGGGAAAATGTTGAATTCCTAATTTTTACCTGGTATTTGTAAAAGTATAAACACCCTTCCTTTCTCAATTCATAAGATCCTTTCTTAATGGATTTTTAAGCACATGTATTATGTTTGTAATGAGAAATATAGTCCCACAGTCAAGTTAGAAGGAAGGGAAGGTAACTCTACATTTTAAACAAGAAGAAACGGGTTAACTAGGGGGTATCATAACAACTTAAAAAAATGTTTTTAATGTTTATTTTTTTGAGCGAGATGGAGTATGAGCAGGTGAGGGGCAGAGAGAGAGACACAGAATCTGAAACAGGCTCCAGGCTCTGAGCCGTCAGCACAGAGGCCGATGTGGGGCTCGAACCCACAAGCTGTGAGATCATGACGTGAGCAGAAGTCAGCGGCCTAACTGACTAAGCCACCCAGGCATCCACCTCCCTTTTTTTTTTTTTTTTTTTTACAAGTTTAATATTCCCTGCCTGGTCCCTCCCTGTCTCTCAAAGGCTGTTAAAAAAACAAAAAACAAAAAACCTACTATTTTGAGAGAGGTGTACTTCCTTCAGTCTGTTGTGCTCGTATCATAGAAAGTTTAGGTTACAAAGATAACTATTCAATCACTTAAATTAATTATCTATTTTTACCAGTAAAAACCAATTCATCATGCAGGCAACTTTTCTCTTGCTTGAGGCGAATGATCTCTTCTCGTTGTTCATTATTTTCTGTTGTCTTTTCATTTAGATCCTCTTCACAAATAGAAGAAAACAAAAGTCCTCAAATAAATACTAGTTCCTAGAAGACTATACACTGTGAATACCTCTCACGCCCTCAGCACCCTTTCCAATCAATGTGAAGTCCTACTGGAACCACAACAAAATGTGCCCCGTATCGAATGTCACTGCACCCCTAGCAGTGACCCTTGTCAGGCTTCCTTATCCCTGACTGGCCGCTCCTTTACACCCTATTGTCCGAAGAACAATCAGGGCAATCTTCTTCTTCTTCTTTTTTTTATTAAGTACACTCTACCCCCAACGCGGAGCTCAAACTCACGACCCCAAGATCAAGAATCACATGCTCTCCTGACTGAACCAGCCAGGACCCCCAGGGTAATCTTTTAAAAGTAAAAAGCTGCTCATGTCACTTGTCTGCTAAAAGCCCTCCCACCACACCCAGGATGAAATCCAGAGTCACTGCTGAAAGCCCTGCGTGGCCCTGCCTGTCACTCCCCACTGTGCTTTGTTCTGCTCCTCCAACGCGTCCCGACCTTGCAACCCACCCTAGGGCTTTTGCATTTGCTGTTCCTTCTGCTTGGAAGGCTCTGGGCCCAGATCCTCACATGGCTAGTTCTTCTCACCATCGAAGCTTCTGCTCAAATCTTCTCCTCAAAGTCACCTTCGCAGTCCACCCGAACTGAGTTCATTCCCCTCACTCTCTAGTCCACCATCCATTACCCTGTCATCCTTTAAAGAGATGACAGAATCTGTCCCTGCTGTCAAGGGGCTTACAGTGCGATTATGGTTTTAGCTGAAGCTACAAATGGAGACAAAGCCTACGATTTGGCACAAGTCAAGGCATCAGAAGCACAAGATTTTAAAAGGCTGAGCCTTTTAAATTAAATCAACCACAATAAACTTTCACAATTTCAACAGCAACTCACTGGCTTGGGGTGCTGAAGTGCTGAAAATACTGACTCCATCTGGTTGATGTCTGTGCAATGCCCTCCCTCGGGCCTATGTGCTCCCGACCTCTTGGAGGTTACTGTGTGCCCTAAATGCAATTCGGAAAGGCTTATTCTGAGCTTCCCTCTAGCGCACAGATGGCACCACTTTAGATAACTAGCCTTGACCTCACCACAATGCCCCTCGCTCATAGAAGCTGTGGATTAAGGTCTGAACTCTGTGGAGAGTAGCTTATGTAGCACCAGGATCGTGGGCCGCCCGATCCCCCTGTCAGTAAGTTACCCCGAATAAAACTCCATGTAAATGGAATGGAGTGGCTTGCTTCGTTTTTCAGTCTCAAAGTGCCTTCTCAGTCTGGAAGGTACTTTACTGTCTCTCCTCCACCTTCTAACGAGGCGCTCCACTAAGTACAGAGGTCAGGGTACCTTCCACCAAAATATGGCTTTGTTATTTTAAGGTTGCTTGTTCCATGGTGAGAGCCTATCTTTATGTGGAGCTGGATAACCATTTACTCTGCCCTGGCATGGGGAATGGCCAGAGACACGTGGGCCTACTGGGGCACCTGGGCGGCTCAGTTGGTTGAGCATCCAACTTCGACTCAGGTCATGATCTCACGGTTCATGAGTTTAAGGCCCACATCAGGCTCACTGCTGTCAGCGCAGAGCCTGCTTCAGATCCTCTGTCCCCCTTTCTCTACCCGTCCCCTACTTGTGCTCTCTCAAAAATAAATAAAACATTAAAAAAAAGAAGGAAAGAAAAGTGGGCCTACCTCCATGCTCTCTGTAGAAACAGGTAAGTTTTTCTCCGTCACCTACATCCACATTCACATAAACAGCACTAACCTATTTGGTATACCTAGCTTCCATTTCATTATAAAGTTTCAAGTAACATTACTTAGAAGGAAATGAATCATGGAGTTACTCTGAGAACAAAAATAGAAAATGAAAACATGACAGGAATTTTCAAAAATAAAACATGCGCCCAAAAGCCGCTCTGGTGGGTGTGCTGTCATGGCGATTCCTCAGCCCCGCTGCGTTCCTCTCGTGGAGGGAACGGGTGTTTCTCTACTGCTGGACTTTGGGTTTGGCCAAACAATGCTTTGGCCAACAGAGTGAAGGTATGTCGAGTCCTCACGTGTCTCTGCTTTTACATTTATTTATTTATTTATTTATTCATTCATTCATTCATTCATTCATTCATTCATCTCTATGACCAATGTGGGGCTTAAACTCATGACCCTGAGATCAACAGTCGCATGCTCTTCCGACTGTGCCAGCCAGGTGCCTCCGCTTCTTCTTCGTGATGGGGAAAGCAGCCACCCAGGCCAGCCTGCCAGTGAGGAGAAGTGAGACTCATGAAGCTCCCAGAGGGGCAGCTCAGCTGGGCCCAAGCGACATAAGCCAATTCCCATCGCGCTGATATGTGAGTTTATCACAAGTTTACAGTTGCATGCCACTGACATACTCGCTGGTTGGTACAAAGCATAAATTAACAAGAGCTAACTGGTATAGCAAAGGTAAAGGTATTGTAAAAATATAATGCATTATGCAGTTTCCCCCACATTTGTTATTTGTTTTGTAACACAAAAACCAAGGCATAATCCTATACAAGGGAAATGAACTGTTTCTTGGTAGGACCTAAGGCCAGCCCTACCCTCAGGCACAAGATGAAGTGAACCCAAATGAAGAAATATGCGCCTGAGGTAAAATGCTTGAGTTGATGTCTCTTCCTTACCTTTTAGTTTATTGACTTCAACTTTAAGTGCCTTCAATTTCTGCTTGTAATCTTGTTTTTCCTTCACGATACAAGTCTCCACCATCTTAGCGTCACGCAGGGCATGCTCTAACAATTTAAATTTTCCTGAGCAGTCTGAAATGTGATTGACGGCCTCGATAATATCTTTGTCCTAAAAACCAAATTTGAAGACTGTTCTGTAAGATTTTTAAGTTCCAACTGATCGGGATAAGATCTCGCTGTGACCAGGTTCCATTCTAGGCACTTCACTGCTAACCTCACGTACCCTCCACAGGGACACTCTGAGCTAGGTCCTACCTCTATCTGCACGTGACAGACTAGTCAATAGTAAAAAGCCCAAGATTATGCAAGGAGTTAAGAGCTGGAGCTCCGATCCACACCTAGTTAGCTGGCCCCAGCAGCGACGCGTGAAGCAGCACGCTTACTACGGCGTATGGCCTATACCCAGCGTGATCACACAGTAGGAGGTGGCGGCCGCTGGACGGGGGCTTACTCTCTGCACCACAGATAAATCCCGTGGGCTTCTTTCTTCCCTTCTTTTCAGCTTGTAATGGCAGTCTCCAAGACCTTATCCCCAAACTACCCAAATCAGAACCTCTTATTGGTGAGGTGGTTGCGTTAATTACGAAATGGTTTGTGCTTGTTGAAAACCCAAACGATACCTACAAGTATAAAAATATTAAGTAAATGGGGCGCCTGGGTGGCTTAGTTGGTTAAGCGTCTGACTTTCGCTTAGGTCATGATCTCGCGGTTCGTGGGTTTGGCCCCGCGTCGGGCTGTGTGCTGACTGCCAGCTCAGAGCCTGGAACCTGTTTCAGTCTGTGACTCCCTCTCTCTCTGACCCTCCCCTGCTCTCGCTGTCTCTCTCTCTCTCTCCTAGAAATAAATAAAAACATTTTTTAAAAAATATTAAGTAAAGGATCCCATCCTCACCCACTCACACAGAGTAACTATTATCACATACAATCTATAATATAATAATAGTTACTGCTAGCAGGTTTTACTCCTGTTCAAGGACAAGTGTTTCTGCCAAAGTGTCACATACGCATTCCTGAAGATGCGCACAGTCTGCACATCTCACATCAGGAGAACGTCTAGGGAAAATGGGGTTGGGCAGACCAGTGGAACTTCAGGATCATACAGGTAGCACAAAACAACTGTCCCATTAAGTATGCAAACACAGTTCAGCAACTGCCAGGGCAGACACATCAGTCAGTCGGTCTTTTTCAGCATCTTCATTAGTACTCACAGGCTCACCAAGGGAGTTTGCTACAATGGAAACCATAGTGGTTGTTAAAGCCACTAAACTGGTCACTGACTCAAAACAATTCCATAGATTTTAATATTTTCTCTTCAAAATTTTTTTATAATGTTAAGGTTTGTTTTTGAGAGAGAGAGAGAGAGAGAGAGAGAGAGAGAGAGCCAGCATGAGCAAGCAGGGGAGGGGCAGAGAAAGAGGGACAGAGAATCCGAAACAGGCTCTACACTGTCAGCACAGAGCCCAATGCAGGGCTTGAACTAGTGAACTGCAAGATCATGACCGGAGCCGAAGTGGGACACTTAACTGACTGAGCCACCCAAGTGCCCCTAAAATGAGAATTTTAAAAGAGCAACACTAGTAGCTCTGCCATCCAATTTCTTTTTTTTTTTTTAATGTTTTATTTCTTTTTCTTTTCTTTTTTTTTTTACAAATAGTTTATTGTCAAATTAGTTTCCACATAACACTCAGTGCTCATCCCCATAAGTGTCCTCCTCTATGCCCCTCCCCCCCCCCCCCCCCCCTTTTATTTATTTCTAAGAGAGAGAGAGAGAGAGACACCGTGAGCAGGGGAGGGTCAGAGAGAGAGGGAGTCACAGACTCTGAAACAGGCTCCAGGCTCTGAGCTGGCAGTCAGCACAGAGCCCAATGCGGGGCTCGAACCCACGAACCGCGAGATCATGACCTAAGCGAAAGTCGGACGCTTAACCGACTAAGCCACCCAGGCGCCCCTCCGCCATCCAATTTCTAATGGGACTTAAGTAAGATGATGTACATGACTACACTGTATCAAGTACAAAGTGCACTGGCAGATGGAGGTATTATGATCTGAATTACCTTTAGCTTAATCATCGTAGTGAGAGCCTGTTCTCGCGCTTGTAGCTGTCCTACCTGGGCAGAAAGCTCCACCAATGTGTTGCTGAGATTTTCATTTCTAGCCTACAGGGGAACACATAAAATACTGAGTCATTTAAAAGCTTTCATTACTATCATTAGCCACAATCTGTGCTCAGTCTTGTTTTTCCTGTAACTTTTATTTAGCAACAAAGTAGGCCAAGTAAGCAGTCATCAAAAATAAATACAAGTATCTCTGTCCATTACCTCTAGCCTCCTCTCAATACTTATGTTCGCCCTACTGAATCCTATCGGTTATGCTTATAACTGCCTATTTCCCAGTCTCTTCCATGTATAATTCTAGGATGGCAGCAAAGAAAATAAATGAAAACTGGATTGGTAAGAGATTCTCTTCGCTGAAGTAAAGTAGCATTAGTGAACTTCTGTACATTTTTATTTCTTACTCTATGTTGAAAGAACTTCACTTCAAAAGATAGTTGCAAATGACATATCAGATAAAGGGCTAGTATCCAAAATCTGTAAGGAACTCATCAAACTCCACACCCGAAAAACAAATATTGCAGTGAAGAAATGGGCAGAAGACATGAACAGACACTTCTCCAAAGAGGACATCCAGATGGCCAACAGACACATAAAACCATGCTCATCTTCCTTCATCATCGGAAATACAGATCAAAACCACAGTGAGATACCACCTCACACCGGTTAGAGTGGCTAAAATGAGCAAATCAGAGGACTCTAGATGCTGGCGAGGATGTGGAGAAACGGGCACCCTCCTACACTGCTGGTGGGAACGTAAGCTGGTGCAACCCCTCTGGAAAACAGTGTGGAGGTTCCTCATAAAATTAACAACAGAACTCCCCTATGACCCAGCAGTAGCACTGTTAGGAATTTACCCAAGGGATACAGGAGTGCTGATGCACAGGGGCACATGGACCCCCATGTTCACAGCAGCACTCTCAACAATAGCCCAAACATGGAAAGAGCCTAAGCGTCCATCAACTGACAAATGGGTCAAGAAGATGTGGTTTATCTATACGCTGGAATACTACATGGCAATGAGAAAGAATGAAATCTGGCCACGTGTAGCAACATGGATGGACCTTGAGGGTGTTATGCTGAGCGAAATAAGTCAGGCAGAGAAGGACAGATACCATATGTTTGCGCATATAAGTGGATTAGGAGGAAGTTAACAGAGGACGAAGCAGGAGAAGAAGGGGGAAAATAGTTGGGGAGAGGGAGGGAGGCCAACCATGAAAGACTCTTGAATACTGAGAACTGAGGGCTGATGGGGGTGGGGGCGAAGGGAAAGGGGGTGATGGGCAGGGAGGAGGGCACTTGTGGGGATGAGCACTGAGTGTTATATGGAAACCAACTTAACAATAAACTACAAAAATTTTAAAAAATAATAAAAGAAGAACTTCACTTCATACTGGGATTTTCTCACTTGTCAGGTCCCCCCCCTTAACCACAGAACTACATGATGTATTTGGAAATACAAACTACATGATGTATCTGGTTGGGAACAAAAGAATAAGGAGGCTTTTTAAACAGTATCTGCATGAAGGAAACTTAAATGCATGTTACTAAGTGAAAGAAACCAATCTGAAAAAGCTACTTGTTATATTCCAGCTATAAGACATCTAGAAAAGACACACCACGGAGATGGTAAGGAGGTCTATGGTTGCCAGGGGTTAGTGAAGACAGGGGTTAGTGAAGACAGGAGTGGAGCTCAGGCCTCTTAGGGCAGTGAAACTATTCTGTATGATACTACAGTGCTGGGTACGTGTCATTACACATTTGTCAAAGCCCACAAAACAGACACCACCAAGAGTGAACCCCAAGATAAACTGTGGACTTTGGGTGATAACGATGTGTCAGTGTAGATCACTGATTACAACCAACATACTACTGTGGTGCAGAACGTCCGTCGCTGGGGAGATTGTGTTTGGTGGTGGAGACAGGAGGTATAAGGAGAAATTTCTGTATATTCCACTTGATTTTGATGCGAACACAACACTGCTCTGAAAAATCAAGCTTATTAATTAAAAAAAAAAAAAAGTCTTGCTCCTACAAACTGAATTGCATCCCCCCAAAACATGTATGTTGACGCCCTAACCTCCAATACGGTGCTTTCTGGAGATGCTCCTTTGAGAGTAATTAGGTATAAAAGAGGTCATGAGAGTGGGGCCCTCGTAATGGAATTAGCATCCTTATAAGAAAAGACACCAGAGATCTTGCTCATTGTCTCTCTCATACATTTCCTTTTTTTTTTTTTTTTTTTTAAGTAAGCTCTATGCCCAATGTGGGGCTTGAACTCATGACCCAGAGGTCAAGATTTGCATGCTTCACTAGCTGAGCCAGCCAGGCACCCTACATTTCCATTTTTTCCTGCAACATATCACCAGGTTCTAGAAGAGTTTTTACTTATATTATACCCAGAAACCATAGAATAATCTGAAAGAAGTTAAAAAAAAAAAAAAGGCATGATCATTACGAAACAAGCACAATACGAAGACTAGAACAAGAAAAATATGGTGCTCTCTCTGTGCCTCTCATAAAACAAGAGTTCAAAAAATATCTGATGACCAGTCAGAGCTGAAAACTGGAAAATCAGTCTTACAGATTTTATCCCCAATGTGCCACTAACATGACATAGATATTATTTATCATGTCGGATAAGGCACATTAGGAAGCCTAGTTGGAAGCTACCAAAACTTGTTACTCATCTCAGACTTTGAGAAAGGCTCTCTAAAATAAGCTGTTGTTGATAAAATGACAGATGCTCCTAGACCCAAAGGCCTGACAGTTAGGAAAAGTGTTAATGGAGTTCATCTCCAAGACAGCACAGCTCTGTGCAGTCAACCAAAGCCATACAATGGACACAAAACCATGGTGGTAGATGGAAGGACAGAATTCATACACAGTCGTGCATTTTAATGCAAACATTTAAATCCAATTTCTTTTTTTTTTAAATTTTTTTAAATGTTTTTTTAAAATTTATTTCTGAGAGAGTGAACAGGGGAGGGTCAGAGGGAGAGGGGGATACAGAATCTGAAGCAGGCTCCAGGCTCTGAGCTGTCAGCACAGAGCCTGACACGGGACTTGAACCCACTAGCTGTGAGATCATGACCTGAGCCAAAGTCGGACGCCCAACCGACTGAGCCACCCAGGCGCCCCAATCCAATTTCTTAATAACTGAAACACAAACAGAATTTGGGCTAGGGAAGCTCATCACAAAATAAAACCAACCTCAAGGTCTTCAGAAAGGAGAGAGGAATGGGTTGCCTTTTGAGCCATTTCCTGAAGCTGCAGTTGAGTCTTCTGAAGAGCCACTTGGTATTCAGTTTGATTAGATTCAAGAGTTTTTACCTTCTTCGTGAGTGACCTGATTATTTCAGTTCTTTTATGTAGTTCACCTGAGGGAAATTTCACCAATAACTAACTTGTGATCAGATCTGAAGCTTAAAATGCATTATACTCAAACACATAGTTAAAAAGGTAAGTGTGTTATGGGGCACTTAGGTGGCTCAGTTGGTTAAGCATCGGACTCCTCATCTTGGCTCAGGTCATAATCTTCTGGTGGGTGAGATCGAGACCCACAGTGGGCTGTGCTGACAGTGCAGGGCCTGCTTGCGATTCTCTCCCTCCCCCTCACTGCCCCTCCCCTGCTCGTGCAATCTCTCTCTCTCTCTAAATAAATAAACTTAAAAATAAATAAAATAAAAGGTAAACGTGCTAAAGAATTTTTTTAAAGGGTAACTTTTTTAAAAGTTTATTATGAAATACAGGATGCCATACTCTAGTCAAGAAATCACTGTCCGCAACCCAGAAGTCCCCTGGATATCACTTCCTAAGCACAATCTCTCCAATTTCCACCTTCCCAAACATTACCCTTAACTTAATCATTTCTTGCTTTTTTTTTTTTTTAATTTTTTTAAATGTTTTATTTATTTCTAGGAGAGAGAGAGAGAGAGACAGCGTGAGCAGGGGAGGGTCAGAGAGAGGGAGTCACAGACTGAAACAGGCTCCAGGCTCTGACTCGGCAGTCAGCACAGAGCCCGATGCAGGGCCCGAACCCACGAACCGCGAGATCATGACCCAAGCAAAAGTCGGACGCTTAACGGACTAAGCCACCCAGGCGCCCCTCATTTCTTGCTTTTTAATTATAGTTTTACCACCTATGACCACATCTCTAAATATATGGTTTGATCTGAACCATATATAATTAGAATTATACTGTGGGTTCTTCGGTTTGCTTTTTTCACTTATGATCCTGAGATTTATCCACATTGTTGTGGTTAACTGGTGTTTGTGCACTCTTGTTGCTACATCATATCCCATTATATGATGCCAAAATTTTTTTACCCATTCTAGTGGTGTCACCTGGGTGGCTTACACTCTGCAGCAATTATGAACAAGGTCGCTCTGAATATTCTTATACATGTATCTTGGTGCATTTTTGCAAGTTTCTCTAGAGCTCTGCTACTACTCAAATGGGGTCCTTGAGCCTCCAGCACTGGGAATTTGTTAGAAATGCAGACTCTTAGGCCCCAGACCTATTGTATCAGAATCTACATATTAACAAGATCCTTAGGTAATTCATGTGTCCTCTGAAGTGTGGGTATATTCCTAGAAGTGGGAATGCTGGGACCATGAGCCATGTTTATCTTCAACTTTGCTAGATACCGTTAAATGCTTTTCCAAAGTAGTTGTACCAACTGACACTCTCACCTGTGGTGAATGAGTCTTCCCTTGGCTCCACACTCTTACCAATATCTGATAATTGTTGCCAGTCCGATAACTGTAAATAGTATCTCATTATGGTTTTAATTTGCATTTCCCTAACTAGTAATGAGAATGATCATCTTTCCGACATATGTTCTGACCAGTTTTCCATGAAACACAGATTAACATTTCTTACTTTAAAAGCAGATACTACTGATGGCTACATGTTACCTTCATTCTTTAACGTATTTGTGTAAGATATTATATTACATCTAATGAAACACTGTTTACGTGTATACATGTGTGGAGGGGTATAATCAGAGTAAAATCAAATGATCATCAAAGAGAAAATTATGCATATTTAGATTGTCATGTCTACAGAATCCTTTGTGTAACGGAAGAAACGAAGGAGGTAGTATATGGTTATCTTTCTATTAAGAAGATCAAGTGTTTTCCCTTCTAATACAGTCTAACAGTGTAGTGTCACTAGAACATTCAGACTTTAGGGCATGAAAGGATGACAGAATTAAAATATGGTACAAAAGAAAAACTTTTCCAACCCATTTTTGAGACTGTTATTATTTTTTAAAACATGACTGTTTTAGGCACTTCAGATTAAGTTCAATACGAAAAGTTTAAAATTTCCGAGTCACTTCAACAGAAATGGCTAGTCCGATGGCATCTTTATTCATATTCTAGCTCAAAACTACTTTCCTTCAGATTCACTCTTGACACTGCAGTTTAAAAACTTGAACTCTAACCTGCTTTGGATTCTGTGTCTCCTCTCTCTGGCCCTCCCCTGCTCCCCTTCTGTCTCTCTCTCTCAAAAATAAACATTACAAAAAATAATAAAAAATAAAATTGGAGCTCTATCCAGCGGTGCTTGAGTGGCTCAGCCCGTTAACTGTCTGACTCCTGATTTGGGCTCAGGTCATGACCTCACCGTTTGTGAGTTCGAGCCCTGCCAGCATCAGGCTCTACACTGACAGTGCTCTTCCCCCCCTCCCTCTCCGCCCCTCCCTTGCTCCTGCTCTCTCAAAATAAATAAACCTTAAAAAAAAAAATGGAGCTCTATCTAGCATCCTTTCTACATTTAAGGTGTCTGTCCTACTTATAATTCACATTGTGTGTTCGATTGTGAGTGTTCATAAAGGCCTCCTATCTTCAATTAAGCTCAACTCCAGGACAGCAGGTATTGTGTTGAGATGTTTCTTATCTTTCCCATGAGCCCACCCTCCCACTCCTTTTTTCAAATGTATTAACATTTACATACGTTTCTGTCTACCCCGTGAGTCCTTTTAAAATGCTGGCATATAGAAGTGTATAAGAGATACTGCTAATGTATTTCTGACCCTCTAATTTGCTGCAACGTTCTTCCAAAGTCAACACTTTCTGCCGATCCTCTTCCCATGAAAGAAGTTGTCTCTGATGTACTGCAACCATGTCATTGAGCTCTTTATCGCGATCTTTTAATTCTCCAATGAGCAGCTGCAGCTCTTTCCGCTGTTTCTCAATAGTGGAAATCTCAACTTCAGACCCGATGTTCTAAACACAGAAAGTAGTTTTATATCAAAACATAAAATTAATCAATAAATAAATCAGCCAAAGCATATTTTCCAAATAACTATCTTCTTTTTGCTGCCAATTCAAGGCAGTTAAATTCTTTTTTATTCACTGGTTATTATGTGGCATCAACATCACATGTATTTAAATAAGTTCATGCCTACTGTGCAGTCTGCCTTTACAATTTTTTTTTTACTTTTTTTTTAAAAATAGTTTATTGTCAAGTTGGTTTCCATATAACACCCAGTGCTCATCCCCACAAGTGCCCTCCCCCCACCCCCATCAGCCCTCAGTTTGTTCTCAGCATTCAAGAGTCTCTCATGATTTGCCTGCCTCTAGAATTTTGTAACCACCACACACAACACTCTTAAAAAGTAGGACCATTTGTCCCACCTTCATTAGATAATCACAAATTAACTCATTTTGGCATTTTTGTGTCTTTCCTGTCAACCCACTCCTTGCATCAATTAACAATATTATCCCACACTTTGGCCCAACAATTCTGGATCAATCAAGTAAAGGAAAACATGAAGTATTAGTGTTTAAAATTTTAAAAATGTTTTATTTATTTCTGAGAGAGAAAGAGAGAGACAGCATGAGCAAGGGAGGGTCAGAGAGACAGGGAGATACAGAATCTGAAGCAGGCTCCAGGCTCTGAGCTGTCAGCACAGAGCTTGACGATGGGCTCGAACCCACGAACCATGAGAACATGACCTGAGCTGAAGTGGACACTTAACTGACTGAGCCACCCAGGCACCCCAAAGTATTAGTGTTTAAATGAAAATAATTTTCATAACATCTTGCACATATACTCCATCTACCAAGAAGAACATAATGTTGTGAATGATCCAAAATCAACATGCCTGTTTATAAACACAGTTTACAAAGGAAAAATTTCAAACGCACAGAGCAACAAGGTAACTGTACAATAAACTTTCTTATGCTCAGAGCCTAGGTCCCACCATCAAGTTTCAGTTTTCCTTTTTGTTGTTGATAAAGAATATATAGATATAGATATAGATATATATACATATATCTACACACACACACACACATATACATCTATACTTCATTCAGTCTTACATATTTTGGTATGCATCACTAAAACTTTTTTTTTTTTTTACTATAACCATGATGCCATTTCATACCTAACAAAATTACCTACAATACCCTTTAAGTATAGGTCATTTTTAACTCTGGTGCATGAAGTTGATCTGACATAAGTGTGAATCTAGAATTAACCATTTTAGTGGCTCTATAACCTTGCACAAGTTACTTAACCTCCCTAAACCTTGGTTTCCTCACCTGTAAAATGGTAATAACAACAGGTAAACTTAGAGTTGTGTGTATTAAGCAAGATAAACTGTGCAAAGCACCCCACATTACTTGGCACAGGGTAGGAATTCAGCAAACATTAGCCTTTTTATTTTTTTTCCAAGGAAAATTTTTAGATACCGACTTAAACCCGTCAAAGGGAGACGCAGCTTTTCCAAACAGTACCTATTATTCAGATTGTAAACCACATTTTTAAAATATGGTCCTGCCCCCTACCTATGAAATAAAAAACTAAAAGTGTTGCTTTAAAAGATTACCAGAGGCCCATGTGTACCATTAGTTTTCTGAAAAATAAAATTTATAAATAAATAATGACGGACGAGTCCTAGTTACTGGTACACAGAAAATGGAATTTGGATCAAGGGATTCCAAATCACAAGACCTGAATGCCGGTCTTTGGTAAACCACTCATTAATTCTATCAACAAACATTTACCAAGCGCCGCGTGGCTGAGCGCGTCGGCAAGGCGCACAAATTCTGGGATAAGAAACTGGGCAATACGCCAAGGCAGGCAAAAATAGCTCATTTCATCGTACCGATGAATGCAAAGCTCACTTTTCATCGTACACTTATAAATGCAACGCTAGCTTTCAACACTTCTAAGGAAATTAAGGACAGGAAGCGAGGTGGCCCAGAGAAAGGCAGCTCTCCAAACGCCCTGCTGTCGTTAAAAAGTGAATGCCTACTGCTCGCCACTCGTCTCCGCGCCTCGGTTGAATGTCGTTTTTACTAAGGGAAGGAAACATGCGACGCTCCGTTTCTCCTCTTCGTACTGTGTATCATTTCACATTTTAAGCAGAAACCGTCCCTTTAAAACCACCCAGGTTCGGCCAGAGTGCTCCCCGTCCCCCGAGGTTCGCTGTTCACTCGCAGGGGGACGCGCCGGCGGAAACGGTGAGCCGCGGCGGCCGCTCACCTGGCGCCCGGCGAATAAGGTCGCCGAAGGGATCATGGGTGTTTCCTCCGCCCCCGGAGAAAGTCGGGGAGCTCAGCGTCACCTGAGGAAGGCCATAGGCGCGCCTGCCCGGAGCGGGGGCGAGCCCCGAACCCCGGAGCCCCGCGCCCACGGCCGGCCCAAGCGAGCGCCCAAACCGCCCGCCCAGGGGAACGCGCCCGCCGGCCCCGCCTACGGCGTCGCCGAAGGGCCACTCCGGCTCTCGCGAGACCTCGGCGCCCGTGGTCCCGGCTCTTCGGCTTCCCGGGGGTTACAGGGTCTGGGAAGGTTTTTCCGCGAATGGGAGGGCCGCTACCCACCTCCCGCAGACAACCGGTTCTTTACCATTACCCAGCCAACGCGGAAGCAAATTAAAGGCTGCTTGTGCCCCGCCCCCGTCACCCCAGTTTATGAAAGCGGATCGCCCACTTCCTTCCCAGTCTTGTGAGCCGCTGTGTACACGGGGCACCGCCAAGGGGACCTGGCCATCCACGCGAATGCCTGGCTGGAGCCGGACGCCGGCCGTGGTGCTTGGCGGCTGCCGGAAACTAAGCACCCCAGATTAAGAGGAAAACACGATAAAGCAAAACTTTTTGGACTCTTGATGAAACTCTTAAGTAACAATGAGGACTTTGGCAGTTGGTCATGACAAAACCTACCAATCTGGGGTGAATCTAAGTTTTCTCACGTGTTATCTCAGCCATCCTTCTCCCTTTTACTCCTTTTACACAGGAACTGGACTATGAAAAAAATGACACTTTATATTTAACTCCTGGTCGCCCATCCCCTAGTGTTTAACCCATAACATGACATTGGCAGCAAGGCAAATTACCAAATACAATATTATACTATTTCAACTTTACTTGACTATGAATGAGCAAAGCATGTCCTTGCGTTCATGAAAGACAACCTGAAGTGAAAATGGAAAAAATAAGTTTCTTGCTTTGAAGCTTTACTGATTTGGGTGGCACTTGCCTCCTTAGGATACATAGGATCATTTAGGAGAACCAACAACAAAAAAAACCCAACAAGACGATGTCTAAGATTTAAAGTCAGGAAAATAAATTCTGACTAGTTAAAAACATACTATCAATAGATGACTGTACAGTTAAACCTTGGTGGAATGAGAAAGATAAAAAGGAATGTGGGTGAATGTCAACTTTCCGTTAAGGTGCGTTTCAATTCATGTTTGCCAACTTTTACTATTGTTAAAATGTGGTATTTTTGTACCAGGCAACCACATGCCTAACACTCAGTGTAAAAGTATGTGTACAGGGGCACCTGGCTGGCTCAGTTGAGAGAAAGCAACTCTTGACCTTGGGGTTGTGAGTTTGGGCCCCACATTGGGCACAGAGATTACTTAAAATCTCAAAGGGTACCTGGGTGGCTCAATTGGTTGAGTGTCTGACTCTTGATTTTGCCTCAGGTCATGATCCCAGTGTTGTGGGATCGAGCCCCGCATCCGGCTCTGCTCTGAGCATAGAGCCTGCTAAAGATTCCCTCTTCCCCACTCTGGTGCTCTAAAAAAAAAAAAAAAAAAGGTTATGTACATAAAGGAGAAAAAATAGGCTCATTTTATGAGATTGGTAAATAAATTCAATGTGGTGAGAGGAGTATGAGGCCTAGTTGCACATCAAAAACTTCAATATTTTAAGTTCACTCCCACAGGTTTTCTTTAAAACAGAAAAGACCTTAGAAGGCAGAACTTTTAAAAATGGCATGTTTTATGAAAGCTCCAAGAATTACACTGCATCTGATTTTATACTCAATCTAATTCTAACTGACGAACTAAACAGACTCATTCTAGTCTCCCTACCATATTTCCTAAGTAATTTAGAAAATAAAACGGGATCTAAAAAGTAGGATTCATCTTTAAAACAGTAATTTATCAACTTTTTACTGACAGTGAGAAAGCTACCATGTATTTTATCTTAATCAATAGCTGATTTACTGAGGCTTCTAGGTAGTAACTATAACACTGTAAAATCACTTACTGTCAACATCTATACTTTTAATAAATAAAATACTATATATCAAAGCTGGGTTTGCATTTAAATTGCCAGCTTAATGTGGCAAATCTTTTACAATTATGACATAAGGCTATTTAAAGGTTAGTATTCTTTTGCTAAAAATACTAGACTGTGAAAACATTTACATAATACATAAAGAGAATGTATGAATTAAAGTCAATCCTTAAACTTCGTATATTAATGCTGCATTTTAAATTTCTGGTCGAAGGAAAAGATTCACACATGTTATACACAAGGACAATTTTAATCCTCCGTCATCCTGCAGTAACATCCACTGCGGGCTTTATATGGATTAAAACTGCATTTGCAACAACTGTGAACATTGAGAACCTTTACATGAAGTCACATGGTCGATACAGGCACATAGACATCTTCCAGCACCAACAGAATACATACACAACACATACCAAATGGTCTTGATGGATAAATTTGCTTCATCAGATACTCATATTTAGTAAAATTCAGTTAATGCAAAATTTCATTTTCTTCATTTGCATCTTTCTCACACATTTTTTTTAAGATTTTAATTATTTAAAAAAACCACTCATTCATTCAAGGTTGTCATTTGTAGGGCAATAAACAATGGGTTCTAAATTTCTTAAAGGTGTCTATAGCAATTTAAAACACCAGGAGTCTTCTTTTCAATTTGTAGCACCTGACTTAAGACCTTTATAAAAACAAAGTTGAAATTCATTTAGTGCATTCATTAAAATTCATGGTCACTGTTTCTCTTGTGAGAAAGACTCATTTCAATTGTTATTTCCCAGACTACCTATATATATTTTGAGAGAGTATGAGTTTATATTCTTTTCAACTGGGTAGAATTTTATTCTCAGAATTAATAGCTAGAATAAGAACTCACAGCATCTCTGAATGGTCTTTCACTCAAAACAATGGGGTGATAATTATATAAAATGGATTTGGGGTAGTCTACTCCCCTACTTAACATCACCAAACATGTTTCCAAAGTATTCTTGGAAAATATCTAAAAATATACAAATAGTCTATCATATGGTGCACCATCATACTCTAACCATTTCCCAATTGTTCATTTATACAGTTGCAATTTTTTTATGAGAAACACTGTGATGAACACCCTCACCCACAGTTTTAAGCAAGAATGATTCTATCTTTAGGATAATGTCAACTAAGTGGCTTACTGGGTCAGACTGCGGATGGTTTTAAGGCTTTAGTAAACTTTACCAAATAATCTCCAGAATGTGAACAACTCCCACCAACATTAAGTGAATATGACCACGAAGTGGACTTGGTTGGTAACAATGAAGCAAATTCAACCACAAATCTATTAGGGGCCAAGGCATCTCGAAACTATCACACCAAAGAAGCAAGGAGACAATCGTTAATGGTGATGAAGCCAAAATTCAAATTCTTTAAAACATTACTCAGCTTCAAATCATGATTTAATTAAATCATGATTATTTTAAGAAAACTGACTCTTTAAATTGGGGTTATTTTAAGATAATAAACAGAAAGGCTTTGCACAAAAAATCTAGTGTTTTTCCAAAACTAAAAAGTTAAAAAGAGAAAGAGAAAAGTCAGTACCAAATGACCAAAAACTTTTATTTGACTAAATTCTATTTCATGCATAAGCATGACAGTCTCCCCTGTTTATTAGACTTTGGCAATAAAAAAAACAAGCAGCCTTATACAGAACAGTGACAATGCCAAGGGTGAGGGTGGTCTACAGTTTCACTGTAGGATAAATATATATATTTTTAAAAGGCCTCTCTCCCTTTGGCCATATCAACTCTCAGTTCAAATCATTAAATAGAGACAATTTTCAAAATCACTTCTTTACTTCTCCAAGATCTTCGATGCTATCATCATCCACCTATAAAACACAAATAATTACATCTCATGAATTGTGGTATCAAATAACACAGAAGCAACCTGCTTTACAAACTTGCTTCCACAGATGCACATGTTCTACCTACTCACCTCTGGCCATTTTTCCTGAATGACATCAATTATGTCATCTGTAAAGTCTCCCTGAATGATGATTTCATCCTCTCCTGTTACTGAGGCACCACAGGAGAATTTTTGAGCAAAAAATCTTTGTGCTTCTTTTAGATCAATTTCTGTTATTTACAAAAAAAGAAATAGTAGGACTGTAATTGGAATCATGTATCAAAGATATTTTTCCATTTTGAAATTTAGTCTTCATCTTAAATTCATAAAACAGATCACCTTAATGGGTTTCGTATTCCTTTCGGAATAATTACAAACTACCACAGGCAGTGGTCTTAAGAACTCAACTTACTATTTGCAAAGTCAAATAGAGCGTCAGTACATAAAAACAGCGTTATTCCTAACTTATACAGTAAGACCAAAATAAACCCAGGAACACATTGATTACAGGCATTATATATACATTTCCAAGTACAATGAAGTTCATTTGTTTATCGCTTTTTACAGGAGAAAAATTTACAACAGGGAAACAAACCTACTATCTCATGATTGTTTTTTTAACCTGTGTTGTCACAAGAAGGGGCCCTGGTTTACAATTTCACTGTCCATTCAAGGCCTCCGGGACACTGGGCCAACACCCACCTTCCCTCGCCCTCTACTGTCACTCCCAGAGGCCACGGGCCATTTTGCAACCCTTTGCCATCCCAGCCTGCAGGGACAGAGGAGCAGTACTGATAGGCTTCAAAAGACATTCTACCTAGGCCTCCTCATTCCACATAAAATGTGCCCAATAGGAATTCTGGGAAGGAAAAAGTTAAACTAGTCCCCTCTGCAAAAGATTTTTAAATTTCTTCAAAATTTGATTTTGGAGCTATAGTTAGAAATGCAAAATCTCATTTTGTATCTTCTTAGCGAAAAATAGATCTGTGAAATTTTCATGATGTCGGATTATAACAGAGAAAGAGACAGAAAGAGCAAGATAAAGACAGGGAGAGGGAGGGAGAGAGGGAGGCAGAGAGCAAGAGAGAATATCGCTCACACATCTTAAACATACTTGAACTCACCGAAAGTTGCAAGGCCACATACTCTGGTTACATATTTCTTCTTTGCTCTGGGAATTTTGGCTATTGTAACCTTTTGTGGTACTGTCTTCTTTTTTTGCTTTATTTGACCCCTTCCACCTTTATTTATTAAAAAAGAGCTCAGCATTAGTTGTGTTTAACATACAGAATACTGTCTCTAGGTTTGTTAATTTTCAAAAGATATCAAATATTAATTTCTGAAGTTTCTTCTAATACAAAACCAATAAACACATGCATGAGTATTCTTTCAATAAATATTAAGTGATATGTGCCAAGCACTGTATTAAGGGCTGAGAACACAAAGATGAACAGAAGAAAACACAGTCCCTGCCCTCCAGGGACTCTCAGTCTAGTGAAGGGAGACAAAAAAAAGCTTAATAAGTACTGCAACCTGATATATACTATAATAGGACCCATGAATACTGCACTACCGTAGCTTTGCAGAGTAATGGCTTACTGTGCTTCCAGAGGACAGAAATGGTTTCACAGAAGAAGAAATGCCATTTAAGTTCTTGCAGAATAAGGAAGGAACTGTCCAGATGAAAGCAGCAGGGCTGGAAAGACACAGTAAAAAAGGAACCCCAGGAGAAAGGAGCAAGTACAAAGATAAGAGAAGGCCTTTTGAGAACTACAACTGTCCTGATGAAGGGTGCTTATGTATATGTAGCAGATAATGCCAGAAAAGCAAAAGATTACCTACCAGTCAGTCATTACAGACTAAGTTCTGTTATTAGACTTTATACTGAGGCAGAAGAAAAGTCACTCAACAACTATACAGGAGGGAAATAACCAGAGTTAGGTTTTATGAAATCACTCCATAGCATGGAACGTTAGTATCTGAAGACTAAGCTGACATGGAGGCCACTGGAGGCTCCTACATTAGTTCAGGTGGAAACAAATCAAAATCTAACAAAGCAGTGATAACAGTAACGGTGACTAGGCATAAGGTAAAGAGAGTACAGAGAAGAAACATAACAGAACTTAGAACTGACTAATAGGAGTAAAGAAAGGGCCCAAGAGGAGTCTCAGGTTTCTGGCTCAGATGACTGGATACAGTAACCTGTCATTAACCAACAGACGTAGATTTGGAACCTAGTAAGGTGGTTTTTGGAAATACCACATCTGAGGTGCCTGTGGGACCACGCACGTTGCCAGTCTAGAGACGGAGGCCAGGACTAGAGGTATGGGAATCCCAAGTGCAGAGCTGTGTCAGCAGTGAGGGATGTGAAAGAATCACTGGGGAAGAAAGCTGCAGAATGAGAAGGTATGAAGGCCAAGGGCAGGATCCTGGGAAATCCAACTCTTTAGGGACAGACAAGAAGAGAAGTCTGTACAGAAGACCAAAGAGGAGTGACAGGGAGAGTAAGAAAGAGATCTGTCACAAAAACCAAGGCAGTACAGCACTTCAAGAACGACGTGCTCAAACACTCTTCTTGGTTAGCAATTACTGAGCCACTGATGACTACTATTAGAGGAATTTCAGCAAGGTAACAGTCAGCTTAGGATGGAATGAGGCATGAACAATGAGGGACAGAAGAGCAAGGACATGAGTCTAGTCTTACTAAAGAAGTCTGGCTAAGAAGGGCAGGGCAAGGGATAAGGCAAAGACATGGGCTTTTGAGGGAATTTTTCTTGAAAGATGCCAAGTCCTTATTAATAAGCTAATTTTAGTCATAGGGGAGAATAATTAACGAAGAAGAAACAGGCAGGGACAGGATCCAGAGTACAGGAATTAATTTTATTTTTATTATTATTTTTTAGGAATTCATTTTAGAAGAAGGAGAAGTAAGTATACGCAACAGTTATTTAAAAAAAAATTCCGGGGCGCCTGGGTGGCTCAGTCAGTTAAGCATCCAACTTTGGCTCAGGTCATGATCTCACAGTTCATGGGTTTGAGCCCCACATTGGGCTCTGTGCTGACAGCTCGGAGCCTGGAACCTACTTCCGATTCTGTGTCTCCCTCTCTCTCTGCCCCTCCCCCACTTGCACTCTGTCTCTCTCAAAAATAAATATTTAAAAAATTTTTTTAATTCAACTGAGCTGACATAATGAGAGAATAAAATCTTTTATAAACATCCTCACTCCAACTAAATAGAATACACAGGTTTTTTGTTTTTGTTTTTTTAATGTTTTATTTATTTCTAGGAGAGAGAGAGAGAGACAGCGTGAGCAGGGGAGGGTCAGAGAGAGAGGGAGTCACAGACTGAAACAGGCTCCAGGCTCTGAGCTGGCAGTCAGCACAGAACCAGACGCAGGGCCTGAACCCACGAACCGCGAGATCATGACCTAAGCGAAAGTCGGATGCTTAACCAACTAAGCCACCCAGGCGCCCCTAGAATACACAGGTATTTTAATAAGGTAGCAAAGTTTTCAAGTCATAAACAAGATGGCCGGTTCCTTTTTACCTATGTACACAGCAAATAAATAAATGTTTTCTTAGGTCCAACTTACTGATAAAGCCCAAATCATATGACATCCAGTCATCCTGAGAACAGGATTCTGTCTCACTCTGTAGGGTACACATATGGAACTAAAATAGCAGGTAGGTATTGCTGGCTTTGGGTCTGTTTTCATTTTATTTCTTCTGGTAGAGAGTTTTTAAGGGTGTTTATATAAATCAAGCCACAGATTTAGGCCTTACCTCTCTTTTGCTTTTTCTTCTCTTCCTCTTCCCCTGCTGTGCCTTGACCCTCACTAATTCCAGCTTCTTGTTTGGGTGAATTTTCTAGGTTTAACAATAAAATCCAAAAGCATTAACAATCACTTCAAGATAACCTTAAAAAAATCACCTCTGAGCAACTTCTTACACAATTAAGGCATCTTGCCAACAACTCAGCATGCCATTTATAAAGCAAATGATTATATTGCTAACTTCCTATCAAGTCTAATTCTGGTCACTATGGTTGAGTGTATGGTGATAGAAGGCAAAATAAAGTCTTCGATATGTGAGGATTAGGATCTTTTTAGCCACATGAAAGGAACATAAAACACTCAGACTCTGCAAGAGTGTTTAGCATCTTATAAACATACTATCTAGGTAACAGGAAGTCTGGTCCTGAATAAGAAGACTCCCTCCTCAGGCCATATCATGACCAACGCAAGTCATGTCCAGGGCTGACCATGACCATGCAGACTGACTAACACTTAACTTTAGGGTTCTTATCCAACCACAGACAATGACCATGTAGCTACTATCCAAAAAGGCCTTCTGAAGTTTCAAGGGTTGTGCCTCTTGGAAATGATTGGAAAATCAAAACAGCAAACAACAGCAAACAACAGAATAACATCGGTACATCTGATAGGCCTGTTCCCAGCCCAGGCTTTCCCTTCCTTCCTGCTACTGCCTTCATTTCCAGCAATCTTGTAAGAGAAGCCAACATTTGAACAAAATGAAGAAATTTGTTCCTCTGCAATCTTCCTTTCCTCTGGCAACAGCAACTCCATTTCTCTAATTGCCAAAACCCTAGATGCCTCCTTTTCTCACATCCCACATGCAACGCATCAAAAAACTCTGTCAACTCCACCTCCAAAACCTATCGAGAATCTGACCACTTTTCCCCACCTCCACTGCTACCATTCTGGTCAGGTCATCATGGTCTCCTGATTTGATCACTGCCACGGCCTCTTATCTGGTCTCCCTTGTCTGCCTGTGCCCCTTTTCAGTCTATTCTTTAGCACAGCAGCCAAAGAGATGCCGCTGAAACAAAAGTTAGACATAATCGCTCTTTTGCTCAGATCTCTCCAATATCTCAGCTCATTCTGAGTAAAAGCTAAGACTTGGCCTTGAAGGTGTGGTCCTATTACTTCTCTGACTTCATCTCTGACCCTTCATCCCTCCTTCCATAAGCTCCAGACAAGACGGCCTCCTTGATGTTTCCTGAACATGACAGGTAAGCTTTTGCCTTAGGGCCTTTGCACTTGCACTGCACCTGGAATGTTCTCCCGGCTATACAAATGACTCATTCCCTCCCTTCTTTTAGGTCTTTGTTCAAATGCAGTCTTCTCAGCAAAATATTTCCTGCCCCCACCTAAAATTTCAAATTCCCTCCCCAGCAATTCTTATCTCCATAAGTTCCCTGCTTATCACTATTTAACATACTTATTTTGTCTTGTTTTACTTAGTCTCTCCTTCTAGAATATAATTTCCAAAGACTAAATCTTTTTACTACTTTATCCTCAGCATCTAGACAATATGTAGCATACAATATGCTCACAAGAAATAATTTGTTAAATGAATAAGTAAAAATACATATATCCCTAAACTATTACTCTTCTTACATGAAAGTTGTTCTAACCTGTCTCAGAGAGATAAGACATATGAAGCACTGTGTGATTCTGTGTAAGAAATTTTAACCCAAGAATGTTAAGTGGTTTTAAAGTCAATAGCTATAAACAGAATTCTGTAACACCTTACTAAAGGAGCTCATTCGTATCTTTCTAATAATGCCTTATGTGCATTTGTTTGGGGTATACAAGCTTTGATGAAAGAAAAAAATGTTCATACCTACAGTAAGTTTTGCAAACTCATTTGGAAAATTCTTCTCTAACCACTGTCGACATTTAGCAACATCAGGCATATATTCACAGTACTGAGAGAGGCGAGGAGGGAAGGAGAACAAACTGAGTCACAACAGAACATTTTCAGTCAACCAGTACATTTTAATTAAAAGTCATTTCCTATATTTGCTATATTAAGAAAGATGAAACTAACTACTCCCACCTGACATCTTATCTACAGGAATTCTGTGTTCCACCAGGAAATGCCCCATAAGAAATTAGAATTTAAAAAGGATTAGGCACCTCCTCACTGCAGTAATTTATTTTCTCTCCATCAAACAGAAGGGCCATTTGCTCCTCTGAGCAAACAGATAAAAACAAGCATGCCTATTTCTTGCTTTGGGCACACAGGTGTCTCACTATTTCTGTGACTTGCCTACAGAGCCTGACTCAGAAACTTACTAACAGAAAATCTTATACGTAATTTAATTTATGCTCTCCTCTGCTTAGACATTAGATTTTGCCTTTAAGGCTACTCTTGCTTTATTAGCTAACTATTCATGAGTTCCATGCAAAAGTCCAAACTGTCAATTACAAACAATGTACACATATGACAAGTCTAAAGAAAATAATTTGTAAGACCATAAATCTTACCAAAGATCATTCTAATCCAAAGTTCTCTATAAAAAGTTGAAACTCTACTTTCAAATAATAGAAAATGAAAAATTTTTAAAAAACCTCTTAGGCTAGCTGTAAAATCAATGACCTCAAATGCAAAAGTTAAAGAAAGAAAATAATTTTAAAAGGACTTACCTCTGTTGGTAATGAACAGACTGGGGAAATGGAGAGAAAAGATTGATTAGAAAACTTAAATGTATATAAACACAGAGGGCTCATCATAACTTTTATTTTAAATTTGACAAAATGCTTCATTTATGCTTTTTCCTGTAATTCTGTACCACTTTTCATTTTTTTTTAATGTTTTATTTATTTCTAGGAGAGAGAGAGAGACAGCGTGAGCAGACGAGGGTCAGAGAGAGAGGGAGTCACAGACTGAAACAGGCTCCAGGCTCTGAGCTGGCAGTCAGCACAGAGCCCGACGCGGGGCTCGACCCCACGAACCGCGAGATCATGACCTAAGCGAAAGTCGGACACTTAACTGACTAAGCCACCCAGGCGCCCCTCTGTACCACTTTTCAAATACTACCCATCATGCTTTTTTTTTTTTTTTGAGGTAAAAGGCACATAATTATTAGAAATATTATCCTGATTTTTTTTCTTAATTTATTTGAGAGAAAGAGTGATCGTGCAGGCATGAGCAGAGGAGAGGCAGAGAGAGAGGGAGGCAGACTCCTAAGCAGGCTCTACACTGTCAGCACAAAGCCCATGGTGGGGCTCAAAGTCAGTAACTGTGAGATCATGACCTGCGCTGAAATCAAGAGTTGGACGCTTAACCAACTGAGCCACCCAGGGGCCCCAAATTTTGTTTTTTATCTAAACAAGATTCTATCCCTCAGTTGATAGAGTATCAAACTTTACTATCTGCGTATCTTTTTTTTTTTTTTAATTTTTTTTTTAATGTTTTATTTATTTCTAGGAGAGAGAGAGACAGCATGAGCAGGGGAGGGTCAGAGAGAGAGAGGGAGTCACAGACTGAAACAGGCTCCAGGCTCTGAGCTGGCAGTCAGCACAGAGCCCGACGCGGGGCTCGAACCCACAAACCGCGAGATCATGACCCAAGCGAAAGTCGGACGCTTAACCGACTAAGCCACCCAGGCGCCCCACTATCTGCGTATCTTAAGGTTTTACCAGAAACACTTCAATGGGTCTGAAGCTAGGTTGAGAACAAGTAAAGCTTGAATAGAGCTGGTTCTTTCTTTCTTTTTTTTTTTGAGAGAGAGATAGAGAATCTTAAACCGGCTTCATTCACAGCACAAAGCCATGTTGGGCTTGATCCCAGAACCCTGGGATCACAACCTGAGCCAAAACCAACAGTCAACCAACTGAACCACCCAGGCACCCCTGGCACTGGTTATTTCTTTTGACAGCTTTACCAAATCCTTTTTATTCATACTGACACATTTACAGGCTTCAATAGCACTTTTGCTACCACCTCTTTGCAGTTAGAATTTCCTTTTCTTTTTCACATTATGCTACGTAAGATCATGCGACTGTGCAACTATAAAGCTAGAAAGAATGCTGGTTCAATCTCATCACTGTTGTACAGGCTGCACAGGCTAATAGAAGAACTCAAAAGGTTTTCCAATTTTAAATATAATTCTGTTACTAGGTCAACTGCTTTTGTTTTTTATTTTTAAGGTGACAAATGGAGTAGTTTAGTGTGCCCAAGATCTTGAAATTGGTGAGGAAGAAGAGGGGTGGTGCGCCATTACTCATAACAGCAATTATCTTTATGTCCATTGCTATGTGTCATCATCACAACCCTGTAATAATCACGTCCGTATTACCAAGGAGAGAGAGGAGACTTCGAGTAAGTAACCCACTGCATCTGGTTAGTAGAACAGGATTTGAACCCTGGTCTGTTTCTGAAGCTCATGCTCTTAACCACTAAATTGGATTACACGACACACACAGGAAGTGCAGCTGTGTCCCAGCCACATGACAGAGGCATGTCTTCTCCTCACCCCACCATCACTATTTTAAAGATGAAGCTCTAAAAAAAAAGGATAAATGGCTCAGCCAATGACAAAGGGGGGTATGTGGCAGAAGAAAACTAGCAAACTAGCACCTCTTTATTTCAAGTGCAGAGTTTTTTCCACCAAAGCACTCCCCGGTTAGCCAGAGCTCTACAATCCTCACAGTTCAAGTTCAAATACCAGTAGGTACAGACATCCAGCCACAATTCAGGATATAATTATGGGTTAAATGCCATTACAGCAAATACGAAAGCTACATAACTCTGTACACCATCTCAAAGACTATTCAGTTCAACAAAATTCTAATACAATGTAAAAATTCAGACAATTCTTCCAGGTTCACTATTACTTGCTTTTAAAGTCAATTTCCCTTTTTGCAAACTGTAGCTTTTCAACACTGAGATCTAGCAGTTACCATCAAATTTCACATCACCAACACTGGAAAAACACAAAGAAGAAAGCATCATCATTCACGAGACCTTCTGTTATGGTCTGAATGTTCGTATCCCCTCAAAATTACTATGTTGAAATCCAATGTGATGGTATCAGAAGTAGAGCCTTTTGGAATATTATTCATTCTTCTCAACAGCCCTCTGAAGTAGGCTTTTTTAATGGATAAAGAACTGGCCAAGGTCACACAAGTCAGTAAATGGCTGGGTGGGAACCAAACTCTGATGGATTTCAGATGCTGAAGTCATAATCTTGAAGACAAAATGTCTCCCCAGAAATGATCATCCTACCTAGCCCTCCTGTTCCTCACTCTACATCAACCAGCACTCTGCTCCAATCAGCCCTTTCTTTCCTTTCCTTTTCTTTCTCTCTCTCTCTCTTTTTTTTTTTTTTTACTTTGTTTTCATGTTTATTTATTTCGAGAGAGAGTGCATGCCTTTGTGCACGGGGGAGAGGCAGAAAGAGAGAGGGAGAGAGATTCCCAAGCAGGCTCCACACGGTCATTGCAGAGCCCGACACAGGGCTTGATCTCACGAACAATCCCACGGAACCATAAGGTCATGACCTGAGCTGAAATCAAGAGTCAGATGCTTAACAGACTGAGCCACCAAAGCACCCCTCCAATCATGCCTTTCTCTTCCCTCTCCCCTGAGAAAACCGTATTAAATCTTACCACCATATTGTTCTTATGAATTCCTACGCTTTTCCTTACAAATTCTACCTATTATCTAAAGCCTCTCATTTCCTTGGAAATATCCCTATGTCCTCTGAACAAAGGTCCTGGCTTTTCCTGAACTCCTAACTCCTAGTTATAATCAGTAGCCTCTAATTTAGAACTTAGTATTTCCTAAGTGCTTCTCCTACAACTAGACCATACATTCCTTGAGGAAGTTACCCTGTCCCCAGACTAGTGCCAGGAATATCAATACAAACTTGAGGAGGAAAATGAAAATAAACCTTTCTTAAAAAGGTTAGGGACTTCTGGTCAACACAAATTATGGCTCGGATGGCTTGCATATTTAGTGCAATTGTTCAAAAGAGTCACCTTAGCAGTGACATAAGCAATTTAACAGGATGGTGTTCGTATACTGTATTTCATCAGTTCTAATTTTTTTTCATTTTTATAGGGATGCATCTTATAATTATGGCATATCAATCTGACTTTTTTTTCCTTGGTGGAACATAAAATAATGGAGAAGCTTATAAAATATGGACCCATATATGAAACAGTACAAAGAACAACAGCTCTTAACTACATCTGACTAGTATACTTCTCTAATAGTAACATTTATTGTAATATATTCTCATGTTAATTGCCATACCAGGAACCTGACTTACATAAATTATACAAATCACTTGACTTAGGATATAATCATCATTTTCATTGCATAAACCTTAAGAAACAGACCTCAAGAAATAGACCTCTAATCCTTTTTTTTTTTTTTAATATTTTATTTATTTCTAGGAGAGAGAGAGACAGCGTGAGCAGGGGAGGGTCAGAGAGAGAGGGAGTCACAGATTGAAACAGGCTCCAGGCTCTGAGCTGGCAGTCAGCACAGAGCCCGACGCGGGGCTCGAACCCACGAATCGCGAGATCATGACCTAAGCGAAAGTCGGACGCTTAACCGACTAAGCCACCCAGGCGCCCCCAGACCTCTAATCCTTAACTGAATTAGGTAACTTGCCCAAGGTCACATAGCTGGTAATGCTGGAGTCAGGATGCAAACCTTGGTCTGTGACTCCAAAGACAAACAACAGGACCATAAAACCAATATAACAAAACTCAATCAACCCAACAAAAACTTCCCCTGCCTTACACTTAACTGAATTCCTATATTTTTACGGAGATATTTGATAATAATTTTTACAAAGTAATAATTCCTACTATCAAAGATAACCACTAAATGACAAACAGAAATTATAATTCAGTGACATCACCTCTCTTTCTATAGTACTTAAACTCCAGAGGAGGGCTCTGTTATACTCACTGGGTTATACTCCAATACCATGGACCTTTTCTGACTTACTACTCAGTCCCCAGCACCTAAAACATTGCTAGGCACACAGTAAAGGGTCAAAATATTTCCTGGTGCGCCTGGGTGACTCAGTAAGTGTCCAACTCGTCTCAGGTCATGATCTCACAGGTTTGGGAGTTTGAGCCCCACATCGCACTCCGTGCTGTCAGCACAGAGCCTGCTTGGGATCCTCTGTCTCCCTCTCTCTCTGCCCCTCCCACACACATGCACACATTCTCTCTCTCTCTCTCTCTCTCTCAAAAATAAACATTAAAAAAACATATTTCCTGAAAAAATTAATATTCACCTGCCCTTTTGCTATCTTGTACTTTCAAGTTTTTCTGAAACTTTCCAAAATGCTAATAAAATTAGAACGTTTTGAATTCATGAATAGTCTGTATTGAAAATGAGGGAAAACACAAAGAATCCTGGTTCGATCTAATACATACATTATCAGTCAAACCAAGAACACTTTTCCAAGACTGTCCTACTACCCGTCACTCTTACCTCACCATCTTCCATTTCCTAGGACACTCGCCCTATACTCTACTATACACTAACACAAAGCTGCTTGTCTCTCCACAGACATGCATCAGGCCTCTTCTTGCACAGCTGTTCACTTCATCTGGGATGCCCTCCCTCAGGTCCCCATCCAGTCCTTGTCATCTCTTAAGACTCCATATCATCCAAGAGGTCCTCCTTTCATAGCCAGATGAGCAAGTAATATTAGGTTGAAATAATCTATTTGCATGCCTCTATTCCTACTGGACAGAAGCTTCTCCAGGCCAAGTAGCAAGACACAGGTCACACAGGTTGGGAAAATCTGTTAAACCATGCCTCCTCTTCACCAATACCCGCCCCCCCCAGGTAAGGATTTGCCAAATAACAAAGACAGATGAGAAAAGGATTAATAGCATCAAATGTGCACTACCATCACGGTGCATAAAAATCAAATGAGTAAAAGCCATTTTCTGCTCTGTAACACTTGCCTCCACAGTAGAGGACTCGAAGTGGGTAGTCTGCATCTAACTTGGTATTGCCCCTCGGCTCTCCTTTGCAATCATGCCCACTGGATTCAGAAATATCAGCAGCCATCTCACAAACCTGTAAGCAAGGAAAATAACACATTTTCACTATTTTGGACCAAGACCCCAGAGAAGCAGTGTTGAGATGTAGTCTCACCTCCTCCCACGAGAAATACCTCAACCCTAAACCTTTTTCAGCTCTGTTCCTAAGTGAAGGAAGGATACAAGCTGCACGAGAATTCATAAAATATGAGCAATTCTGGGTGCACCACGACCAGCTCCACAGGTCTACAGGGAAGCAAGTGACAGTAGCCAGAGGACCGTGAAAGATGGGGGGAGGGCACACTAGTGGAAAGAGGAAGCAGTGGAATATTAGGATGGGGAGAAGGATCCGTAGTGACGGGGCAAAAGGTCTGGGGGTGATCTCTGGAAGGGATGCGAACTGCAGCAATAAAGGCCACAAAGAAGCTGGACGAAAAGAGGCTGGAAAAGCCTACGAAGAAGGGGTGGGTGACTGGAGGTGCCCAGAATACGGGGTGTGGGGGCAGCTAAACGCCAAAGGAGGGACACAGGAGTCGGGGAAGGGGATGGGAGTGGGAGGGGGCGGGGAGACCAGAATCTGAGGAGAGAAAATGGGGGCAGAAGAATCAGGAAGAGGCAGAACGTAAGAGCACTGAGGCGACAAGGGCGGCCAGGTGTTAGGGGAAGATCTGAGGCGAAGGGGCAATCCCGGGGACACCAGAGGGGCCCATGTGGGCGGGGGTGTGGAGACGCTCGGCCCGGCCCCCTTCCGCAGGGCAGCACCTCGGCTTCCCCCACGCTCTCTACGAGCTTCTCGGAAGAGGGAGAGGCACCAGGGATCGTTACCCAGGCGGTCGCACAGCCCCCGCCGCCTCCGCTCCCGCCACTACCGCCAGCTGAAGCGACACATGCAACTCCTCTTCCCCGGCCAGGGCCGCCTGAAAGCCCGTCTGCCAGCCGCGGTCCCGCGAGACAATAAGGTTTTATCGCGAGATTCAGGCCGCCGCTGGGCCGCTGTCGCGAGACGCCTGGAGGCGGAGGCGAAGAGGAATTGGGGAGCATGCGCGTTTTGCTCGCGGGTGGGACTAAGCCTCCGAGAGGCAGACAACCGGTAGGCGGTGCTCGTTACCCGTGGGAGAGAACCGGAGGTTGCCGTTCCTCGAACGGAAGTGAACGCTGACGGGGGAGGGGGGAGGTGTGCCTAAGTCATCAGTGACTCCCTATTAATGAGCTGGGGGAATGTTGTCCCCCGTCTGGGGTGCATCCTGGAGTTCTGACTAACCCCCAGCCTGTTGGATAAGTCACTCTTCCGCGGGGAGATGGTAGCTGGAAAAGGCACTTGGTTTCAACACCTTTCCATACATTGGCCGAAGTATTCTACACTATGTAGATCGTTCTCATCGCCCATATTCTCACCATCCTAACAGCTGTTTTCATCACCTTCCTCGTATTTACCTATCCTTATATGTGTTGCAAATTGGAATTACTCTCTCCCCTCTCAGGCTCTTTCCCAGCAGCCGGAAGCTTGGGAGACATAACCACACATGGGGCGTGTTAGATTTGCTTGCATCCAGTTTTCTCATTGGGAAAATCCCTATCCGTTCTCCACCTGAATCCCGTTTGTGAAATGGGAGTAATACTACAGTGCTTGAGAGCTATAAGGGTTAGGAAAATGATGACCAAAAAATGCTTTGTAGCTGGTGGAGGTTGCTCTTTGGTATTTATTTTGACCTCCACCTCATTTCCCTCCTTCCCCGCCAACTTCATTTGCCCCCACCATCCTTAAATTTTCTGCTCACAATTTACTTTGTGCGAACACAAAGGCATCTGGCATAATCTTTTGCACCAGAGACTGTGGTCTCCACTCTGACATCTTTTTCTAAATAAAAGAGGCCCCCAGCCCCTCCCGCAGAAGAGTCAATTCTACATAACTAGTGAAAGTTGTTCCCAAAGTGGTTGATTCCAATAGTTATAGCATACGATTCCAATAGTAACTTCCATTTATTGACACCCACCTTCTAGGTGCCAAGAACCTGTTCATTTGGGGATACAGAGTGCAGGTGGATTCATTTCACAAAATTTCCTTGGGTTCAAAGGCAAAAAGGAAATGTAGATAAAATTAAATTTCCTTATAACCTGCAGCACACTGACAAATACTTGAGGCAAATACAGAATACAACATTCTCCAGGAACCCCCTACTGTTTTAATGTTAATGTTTTGCTAGAGGAAAAAACAACCTTAGGTTGAGAATAGCTAGGCCTTCAGTATCTTGTGATTCTTCTTTAGCATATGAAAGTCCTTCTGGAGGCCTCCGTTTAGCCTCTACCTCCCCCAACTCAATAGGAAATGCTCACTCCTCACCACCCCAGTTCAGCTTTTTCAACCCATGGGTCCAGTCCCCATGCTTTAATAAAGTCACTTTTTATTTATCTCAGTGGTTCAGTCAGTTAAATGTTTGTTTGTTTGCTTGTTTGTTTGTTTGTTTTGAGAGAGAATGTGTGAGCAGGGTAGGGCCAGAGAGAAAGGGAGAGGGAAAATCCCAAGCAGGCTCCACACTGTCAGCACAGAGCCCAACGCAGAGCTCCATCTCCTGAATTGTGAGATCAAGACCTGAGCCAGAGTCAGACACTTAACCCACTGAGCCACCCAGGTGCGTGTCAGCTCTCAAGTTCTAAAGAGAGGAACCACATAGTAAATAAAGAAACTCTCCACTGGTTTCTCACCAGGAAGCCACAGACTCTGAGGAGGAGCAGGATTATTGCAAAAGATATAGGAATCCACGTGTCCAGGGAGCATTGCCGGGAAATTGACTAAATATCTTTCAGACCTAAGTATTACTATTTTCAAGTGTAAGTCACACTTTTGTTCCAATGAAAGTCCAAAGATGAAATCTGATTGGCCTGGTTCCAGCTGCATCCATCCCTACATCAGTCAGCAAAACTAAACAAGCCCTGAGTCAAGCGTCCACCTTTGGAGCTGGGTGTAGAGAGTGGGAAGGGTACAGCCCAGAGGAAATTTGAGGCTCTATAACCAGAAGAGGAAATGATGCTCAAGTATCAACAACAGACGTCCACTACAGCCATCTTCATACTCACATGTGCTAAAAATTATTACATAATCTAGAGCACTTATATCACCTGGGTATAAAGGTGAAGCAGACTTCCTTACTAACCTACTTTACTTGAGAGAACAGTGTGTCCAGCTAGAGACTTGATATCCCAGCCTCCCTTGCAGCGAAGGTGTCTATCAATCGATGGCCTCCAAGATCCTACAAGTCTTCTTTAGCATATGAAAGTCCTTTTGAAGGTCATCTATCATTGACACAGCTCTGGTCAATGAGATATAGATAGATGGTAAGGGGGGGATCCCTTCTGTTGGGAAACACTGTGAAAGGTTCTTAAATGGACCAAAATATAGCATTCTCTTTGGTGTCATCTATCACTACCTTTGAGCTATTTTACAATTTTTGAAGTTGTAGAAAACTGAGAGTAATGCAATTGGCCCTTGTCCATAGAAATGCAAACAAATCCTATCTGGTGGAGCTGCAGTGGATTATTTCACTGTTGGCTACTTTTCCACCTATTTGTAGAGTCATTGCTTCATTCCTGATTGCCCAGGTGTGAATGCTTTCCAGAATTCTTCTTTGAATTGGTTTTAACATCTACTGATTTCCCTATTAGTTAATACATGAAATAAATTGTTTGGCACATATTTATTTTATGATTAGATAAAAGTCATGCTTTTATTCTTTTAGAAATTCATCACTTAATGCTTCTCAAATAAAAAAGCAAGGCCTCATGTTTAAAAAAGAAAAACAAAAAGCTTTGACCTTTCTCTCTTCATTCAGACTGCAACAGTAACATAAACCATCTTGCAACCATGAGGGGCTAGCCTAAGAATAAAAGTACATATACCAAGAATTTGGAACTGGAAATGTATAAAAATCCTACATTGTTTTTTTGATAGCATTGTTGAGTCATGACTGCCTCCCTTCCAGGGCTTTCTATTGTGAAAACTCCCTGCTCCCCACCCCTCATCTGTTTAAACCAACGCAGTAGGGTTTTCTATTACACCGCAGAATGCATTCCTAAATTATCCTATTGGAAAGCCAGAAAAGAAAGAAGGGAAGGAAGGAAAGGGAAGAGAGGAAGGAAGGAAGGAAGGAAGGAAGGAAGGAAGGAAGGAAGGAAGGAAGGAAAAAAAAGAGAAAAGAAAGAAAGAAAGAAAGAAAGAAAGAAAGAAAGAAAGAAAGAAAGAAAGAAAGAAAGAAAGGAAGAAAGAAAAAGAAAGAAAGAAAGACCAGATATTTCCTTTATCACAAGGGAGAAACCTGTGGTCAAGCAGAGCATGGCTGAAGAAAAGGAACAAAAGTGAGCCTCGACTAAAGGTTGATGGGGAAATAATGTTGTTGCAAGACCAGTTATTCAGATGAAGTATGGACGGAGGGGCATTCTGACACTCACTTTCTGAGAAGTCCTCTAGCAAAGAAAAGGAAAGAGTTTGCCCTGGGCTTCTGGAAGTAGAAGGGATTTCTTACCACATGTGACACCTTCTCATGAGATCATCTATTTTCTCAAGAAGTCATGTGTTTTATTTTTCCCTTCTCAGGGCTAGACTGGCCCTTAACCAGACGTTTTCTATCACCTGGTTCCTCTGGGCACTTTCCACCTGGGGTGGAGTGGGTACTTGCTGACTGTCTTTCTAGCATCCACTCTCTGTAACAGGCCCATTTTAAGTTTGGAAGCATTTGTCTCTCCTCCATATTATACTCATGTGGTCCAATTAGACATTCACAAGCTCCCATCCAGAGGTGGAGCATGTGAGCCAGGTCTAAGGCAATCAGCACGGGGTATTCTGTTGACAACAGTGATTAAGTAATTCAAAGGCGGATTGACTGGAGTGAATTCCAGCATCTTTTTTGAGGGAGCTTCTAGAAAAGAGGCTCTCTCCTTCCCACTAGACCTGAATCTCAAAAGATGCACAATAGAATTGCTGGCAGCCATCTTGCCACGATGTGGCCTGACAAGGAAGTCCGTATGAAGGAGAGCAGAGCTGAGGGATGGAGAATATTTGGCCCCTGATTCCAGCCACATTTGAGGTCTGCTCTAAACCTGGACCTTCCAGTTGTAAAAGCCAACAAATTCCAATTTCTGCTTGGGCCATTTTGAATTGGAGTGTCACTTTCAAATTAGTTCTGATGAACACATAGGTTTAGGGCTAGGGCAGCCCTTTTAGGCGTTTATTAAGACCTGTTCTAGCCTAATGTTTCCGCACATTTTTTCCCCACTATGACACACACCATGGATATTATGCCCTTGCAGAGCAAAATCTTGTAAAACAAACAAACAAATCTATGTTTTGATGAAAGCCCTAAATGACTGCATGAAAATAATTTATAACTGGAGCACCTGGGTGGCTCAGTTGGTTGAGTACCTGACTTTTTTTTTTCTAAGTTTATTTATTTTTAAGAGAGAGAAAGAGAGAGAGCAAGCTCATGCTCGGGGGAAGGGCAGAGACAGAAGGAGACACAGAATCTGAAGCAGGCTCCAGGCTCTAAACTGTCAGCACAGAGCCTAACGCAGGGCTCAAGTCCACAAACTGTGAGATCATGACCTGAGCTGAAGTTGGATATTTAACCGACTGAGCCACCCAGGAGCCCCTGAGTATCTGACTCTTGATTTCTGTGCACTGACAGCACAGAGCATGCTTGAGATTCTCTCTCTCCATCTCTCTCTGCCCCTCCCCTACTCATGCTCACACGCATGTGCACTCTTTCTGTCTCTCTTTCTCGCAAAATAAACATAATAATAATAATAAATAAAACAATTTCTAACTTTCACAATTATTTATGATATGTGCTATGGACTATGGCAGACTCAATGAGTTGTCACTTGATTTTTTTCTCTTCTACTCCATAAGGTGTTGTAGAGTTCTTAGAACAAGGGCTGGCCCACAGAGAAACATCATA